CCACTGTGAATGACGCTGTAATGAGCATGGTTTCTTGTTAATCTGAGCAATTTCTGCTTAATGACTTAGCTTACTGATGAGTAGCAGGAGGCTGCAGTGTGGTCAGATGACCTGAGCAGCCAGGCCACCACAAATGCCCGCAGTTGTCTGTGCTCCTGACCTTTTGTGAAGGTGACACTGCCCTGGGGCTCTGCCTGGGCCTTCATTTCAGTTGTGGCCTCACAGAGGTCTGGGCTGCTGAAGGTGTCTTGAAGTGTTTCCCCTGATCTCAAGTTCAAGCCCAGCCTGGGGGTGTGGCTCAGGTCTAACGCCCTGGGTTCATCTCCAGCGCCACCAAAAACCCAAGAAGGTTGCTCACTTGATGCATCGTTAGTGTCTCCTATAGAGTAATTTCCCCTGTTTTACAGTTGAGAACATGATGACTGTTGGAAAAACTATCCTTGAAAAGAATAATTTCACGGACTTCACAGATGTGAGGTACGTATGAGTCAGAAATCAAGGATGCGGGACCGAGTTTTGTGATAGTTTGAACTGAGAAGTACATAAAGTACTGGAGGCCGAAACAGCCATGAGGCCGCTTCCCTTTGTTCCATGTGTGCATTCCTGTTGATTTATATATATGTGAATTTTCTTAGACTTGTACATCATTTAAAAATACGTTACGAGATTTGTAGCAGGAAAGTAACTTGAAATCACTGCTGCATTCAACTCTAGCATTTGCTGAACTTGGAGCAAAAGCACCTTATGTTCAGTTAACTGTTTTAATCAAGCTAAGCAGTGCTTTTGACCATAAAAGATGTGGATTCACTTCACATCAGGCGGCCAGGAGGAGGAGGTGTGGGGAGAGGCTGCTTGGACTCCTGAGCTGGGAATCCACACGCAGTGGCCTCTCCTCTCACGGTGGCAGCTGCTCTGCCCATTCAAGGGCTCCAGGGTTCATGTGCGCATGTGAAAGCCCTCGGCAAGCTGTGGGCGTCCTCCTAGTACAAGGACAGGGCTCCGGCCTGAAGCCACAGGGAGGCCCTTGCACCCGTGGGAACCAGAGTGGAATGAGTGGAAGGCGGCAGCCCCGAGCTGCAGTCACACTTCCCTGCTGTGCCCGTGCAGGGCCTCTTCCCTTTTTCTGTTTTTAATCGCAGTCCAGCTGTGCTGCCCAGGCTGGTCTTGGAGTCCAACTGGAGTAACAGTCCCAGGAGCTGGGCCTGCAGGCTGTTGTGCCAGATCTTAGGGTTTTCATCTTTGAAATGAAATGGTGAGCAGACCATTGAGTGTCTTCCAGATTTGGGATTGAACCCTGTCCCCTCTGTTGGCCGGTGACTGAGGCCTGTCACTGCCTCGCTGCTGGCCGAAGGTCTGACTCCAGCGTGTGCTCCGCGTAGCCCTAACCCTTTCCAAGCCACCCTCCCAAGGCTCCCACTGCTGCTGGCTTTCCAGGGTGGCCTTGGTCCTCTCGGCCTAGACAGGCTTGCAGAACTGCTTGGAAACTGATTTTGAAGACACTAAATCATATTTGAAAAATTTTTCTGTAGTTAAGGAGTTTTCTTGTAAGTGTTTGATAAAGCAAGCAATTATAAATAGTGTTCAGTAAGAAATTTAGGTGATGATGGGGCAGTGGTGCACTACAGTCACCAGGCGATTTTGCAGGTGGGGTTAGAATTGGGAGTTCCTGGCCAGCCCAGGTGATTTAATAAGACCGTGTTTCAAAAGCAGTGGGGCTGTAACTGGTGGAACACTTGCCCGAAATCCGCTATCACAACAAAAGTTTTTAAAGGCCACTGTGATGTTAGTGGGCTGAGGATCTGGAGGGAAATGCCTGTGTGCTTTACTAAAGAGAAAGCGCCCTCTGCTGGCCGTGCCTTTGAATGCAGGGGCACCGCTGCTGTACCCGTGTCCAGTCATTTTCGTAGCCCATTGCAGAGGCCTCCCTTAGTGGAATTCAAGTTTAATGTAATAAGGACTGCAGAGATAAGAGAAAATGTCTACTTAGAACTTACAACAGTTATCCTGAGGCATGCTTGCTGTGAAGGCCTTCTTCCATTAAATGCAGGAGAAAAGTCACACACAGGTGACAGCATGTTTGTCCTGGGTGACCTGTTTTGGGTTTCTTTAGTACTTGCGTATTTGACCTGGGAAGTAGCAGACACTGCTGTGGTCAGCCAGCCTCATGTCTGTTGCAGGATGGGCTTCCACACGCCACCTTTCTGCTCCATCTCTCACCTGCACTTGCATGTGATGGCGCCCGTCAGCCAGTTTGGCTTCTTGTCCAGGTTGGTTTACAGAGTGAATTCCTATTGGTTCATCACGGTAAGTTCCAATTATTTGTCCTTTTTGTTGCAGGTCTGTACTTCTTGGCAACCCAGGGCATGCACAGCTTTCCTAGGCATGACTTACTGTTTTACCAAAATAAAATCATCAGCATTGGGGTTTTTAGGCCTCCAGATCCATGGCTAGGACTTCTCATTGTAAGCGCCTCATGAAGTAGAAAAGATCGACACTAGGAATTTGGACTCTGGAGTCAAATCCATAGCTCCACTGCTCACTTGAGGGACCATTTACAAATTACATACAATTTTTTTTTGTTTTTTTTTTGGTCTTTTTCCTTTTTATTAGTACCGGGGATCGAACTCACGACTGCCTGCTTGCAAGGCAGGCGCTTATGCCGCTGAGCTAAATCCCCAGCCCCACATACAATTTTTAAGGCTGGAGCTTTTTCTTGTGGGGTGCTGGGGGTGGAGCCAGGATCCCGTGCGTGTTAGACAAGCACTGTGGCTCCGAGCTACACCCCAGGTCAGGCTCACAGTCTTTAGTACCTTCATGTAGGTGCAGGGCCTACTTGGAGAGTTGAAAAGAGGTGTTGAGATGATTCATGTGTCAAACCTCACAAGCCTGGGGATGTGGCTGGATGCCTGAGCGCCCAGCTCGAGTGTGTGAACCCCTGTTAGATCCACGGCTGCTAGCTAGATCCCCAGCGCTGTGGTCAATACATAGTACAGTGCACAGCGCTCGGTGAGAGTTACCGGCTGCTGCTTCTGTCATCACCACCAGTGTCGTGGAAACGGAGCTCTTGTAATTTTTGGTCAGTTTGTGCTCCTTAGGGAGAGGAGTTTGATACTAGCATCAGCTGCCTGGCCTGAGGTTGAAGCTTTTGGCCCGCAATACTGCAGAATTGTATGTTGTTGAGGCAACGTGGGATAAAGTGCGGCTCGTGGTAGGCGTGTGGTGTGGTGGCTGCCTTAGTTCCTGACTTGCTGGGCTTACTTGCCTGGTAATTTACCAGGCTCTTATTGTATGGATCCCTGGTAATGAGTGAGCCAATGTCTCCCTTATTTGTTTGTTTGTTGTCTTTATTTATTTATTTTTTAAAGACGGGGTCTCACTATGCAGTTCAGACTGGTCTTGAACTCACTTTGTAGCCCTGGCTGGTCTCGAACTTGTAACGATCCTCCTGCCGCACCTCCCAAGTAATGGGATTACAGGCATGCACCACCATTCCTATTTCCTATATCTGAATAATCATCAAAAATAGTATTGATTTGACATTGGTTTATAGCAAGTGCTATTACTCTAGCTCGAGTCCAGAAGGAATTAAGAAAGCACTGGATTGAGTGAGGGGTGTGGCCTGGTGCCAGAGCTTGCCTAGTGCACGGGCTGTGGGTCAGGCCCCATGGGGAAAACAAAAAAAAAAAAAAGAGGTAACACTTTGGAAACTTTGTGCTTTAGACACATGCCTCTCTTCAATTCATCCCGATGAGTTCATTTCATTAATACATTTAACACCTCTGTTGGTTGTCTGTATCTGAAATAAATAAGTCAGACATTCTGAAAGATAGGAAGTATGTCTTTTTGTAACATCAGTGGGATTAAAAAAGAATTTTTTGCCCTTTTTGTTTTTCTAATTTTCTTTCAGATCTTGGTCTCCTAGAAACAGCTTAATTTAAACACTTTTTGGGGTCTGTGTGTAGAGCTCAGTGGAAGGATGCATCACCTTACATAAAACCTTAGCTAGAAAAAGTGTAGGATCTGCTAGTGGTTCATCTTGGCCATCTGAACTGTTCTTAAAACTGAGGTTTTGGGGCAACCCACTGGGGACCCCTTCTGTCTCTCTCTCAGACAGAAGCTTGCTTTCTCTTAATAAATATTTCTTCTCTTAAAACAAAACAAAACCAAAACCCCTGGGACTTTTGACAGTAGTCTATGCTACTTGATTTTGGCTGGAAAAGCAAGGTAATGTTATTGAAGTTTATTTAAAAATCCCTTATGTAGCATTCCACATTTTAAAGGATGATTGAGAAAGGCTCTGTAGTTTAGATTTTAAAAACACGCTTTATCTTTTAGAACAGGTGTAGGTTCTCAGCAAAACAGGACAGAATGCAGAGGGTACATGTGGATGCCCGCTGAGCCTGTGCTTGCTGCCCCGTGGTCCTTGCCTCAATCGGGGTCATAGCCTCTGAGGCTGCAGTCCAGGGTCTGTGCACAGGTCTGCAGATCTGGCCCCTGCACACTTATGGCACCGTCTTGTCAGTCACCTCCCTGCGCCCCCAGCCGCCTCTGTCCCTGGTTAACTGCCTGGCTGCGTCTCACTGTGGAGTCATCGGTCCAGAGCCTTTCACTTTTGGAGAGCATTTAAGTTTCCTCCATGTTTCCTTTTAAAATCTCAATATGCTTATTTTTTCTTCTTACTGCAGTTGTTTAAATGTGTACGTAATGTAGCTTATAAGCTGCTTGTTTATAGATCATGTGGAATACCTGTACTACACAGTAGTTTTGTTAAAATCGCTGGGTTTTTTGTAAAGATATTTTTATGGGTATTTTGGTTGGGGGAGGTATTTTTAGAAGCAGAATATGTAGTACCCTGCTTAATGGGGGGAGGCTTATTGTAAAGAATGCAAACAGAGTTGTGTGATAGAGGCTCTGATATCTAGAATTAAAACATTTTTTTTTTAATTACAGGCTGATTACTTGATTGAAAAACTAAGAATATGAAAATGTCAGCAGTGGAAGGTCTTCTTAACCGTGGCTCAGTATAAACTAATGCTTTGATCCTTTTAAGGTCTAACTGCAATTTTACGGTTTGTGGGGTTTTCTAAGAAGCTGCTCTGGGTAGCATTAACTCTTCTCTGAATGTCTGTCTCCTGGGACCTGTGATACAGGTGTAGAAGTATTTGTCACCAACTTCTTTGGTTTCATGGTTCTCGTAGGATGTTAAGTGTAAGAAACTGTAGGTAAAATTCCATGTAAAACAAATTCTGTTAATCAAGATGGGCATTATATTTTAAAAGTTTTAAAGTAGTTTCTCAGTAGTTATTTATGAACAACAAAGTGGTATAGAAAGTCATTTTTTGGAACTTTATTACTGTGAAGGAGAAAAAGAAGTTATTTCTTGATAGTTTATAGTTGAACACATAAATTTCTAAAATAATTCCATACTATACAATCATCTCTGATCTTGCTGATGGGAAGAAATTATACATGTGTCAGTGTCGCTCCCGGCCGGCAGGAAAAACACACGACAGATTCTGACGGTGTGCAACCTTGTCTTTATTTGTCTCCGCGTGGGCCCCGCGAGGCCTCTGCTCTGCCACCAGTCCTTTCTTACCGGTGGACTTTCTCTATCTCTCTCGTGCTTCTCTCTCGTGGCGGGAGAGGCACTCACTTTTATAGGGTAACAGTGGCCAATCAGTTCAAAGCGCGCGATGCGGGCTGATTGGCTAACATCAGTTGTTGCTAGGCAGACTCTCTTACAGAGCGGGTTGTTTAGGTCGCCAGGGCAATCAGGGGGCAGGAAGCAGGCGCCAACTTGGCTCACTCGATGGGAGGGGTAATCTAGCTCGGGCTTTGCTCTTTTCTACAGGCCTCACGTCCGCCAAGTAAGGCGACCGGGCTCGGCCGTGGCTCCCAACATACATGTGTCCTTTTTTACTCAAATTTTGATACTGATTTCCACTTCTTAAAGCCTAGCATCTTTTTAATAATTTGGTCCTGCAAGTTACATGATGCAGTAGCTCCCTGTTAGTCATGAGGGATATGGTCTGAGACCCTCAGGTACCCAGGACCTTGTATACATTTTGTGTATATTATGGTTTTACTTACACATACATACCTGTATTGGGGTGCAGCTTACGAGTTAGACACAGTAAGCGACTAACAACAGTGACGAGTAAACAGCACAGGTGTAACCGTACACTGTGATGTGCTTGCCAGCCTGCGCCTTTACTTCAGGACCCTTATGAAGTGGAGTAAAGGTTAGCGAAGTGCAGGTGCACCTGCCATGACGGTGGGTCTGATACCTGAGGCGGTTACTGCCGGTAGTGTATTCACGCGTCACTCGTGTTCCAGGGGGCATGAGATGTCCCAGTGCTACTTACAGTGCTGCGCGGTTTAAAATAAGTGGGATTTTTGTTGCTTTGCGCTGACCCACTGCGTGGGGTAACCCACCCCATAGAAAGCACAGCCCCGGAAGGGAGACTTTGGATGATGAGGACCACTGTAGTGTAATTTCTAACAGGAGTTTCCTGTACCAAGCAGAAAATCCATAGGAACCCACAGAGCAAGACACCTAAGAGGGCTCTATGTGTTAAAGCTGACAGAAACTGTTGCTTCGTGGCAGGTTTTTTGTAACAAAGGGAAGTTAAAATGAAAAGTACTTAGACCTTGATTGTATCATAAAAAAGACCTGACTTGGCAGTGGAAATAGATAGGCTTCATGAGGAACATTAATTTCACAGTATAATAGTGATCGTATTGGTACAGTGTTCATTGGAAATCACCTTTGGTTGCTGATCTGCAGTCTGTGTGAGGGCAGCAGAGGCGCTGACCGCTGGTCCTGTGTGGTGCCCATGTGCAGAGCCCCTGTGCAGTGCCTGTGTGCAGAGCCCGTGTGCAGTGCCCATGTGCAGATCCCCTGTGTAGATCGCCTGTGCAGAGGCCCCGTGCGGTGCCCCTGTGCAGAGCCCGTGTGCAGTGCCCATGTGCAGATGCCCTCTGTGGTGCCCCTGTGCAGATCCCCTGTGTAGATCCCCTGTGCAGATCCCCTGTGCAGAGCCCATGTGCAGAGCTCCTGTGCGGTGCTCGTGTGGGGAGAGCCCCTGTGAAGTGCCCCTGTGCGGTGCAGTGCTTTGGACATGGGTAGGAGCGTGAGCGGGGTTGTGTTGCTGGGAAGAGGCCGAGGCCCCCAGCTTTCATCTCACATGAACACGTAGTTTACATCACCTGGCATGTAGCTGCCTTGTTCATTTTTTAGCAAACATTATGGAACACTTGACACGCACCAGACGCTCTCTGCACCAGGCCATGGGGACATGAGGGAGGACGGTTGGCCTTTCACTCCTGACACAGGGAGGAGGCAGACTGGGGTGTTCTAGGGTACAGTGCAGGGCTGTGTTCAGAAAAGGGCTGTGAAGGGAGGGACGCTGCTGAGAGTGACCAGCCAGAGCCGGGACTTCCAGAGCAGTGTCAGGGAGGCGGAATGGCAGTATAGGCCGTGGAGCCCGCGTGTGGTCCCTGAGTTGTGACTGCTGTGTCATTGACTTTACAGCTGTCATGTGTAGCTGGCTTCACCTTACTCACCCGAGCTGGAGACGGGTTGATGAGGAAGCTGACGTCTCTCTGAATGAGAGTATGGTGTCCTAGCCCTGCTTTGGGACGCAGCTCACGGAGCACTTAAACAGATTAACAATTGCAAGTGTCTGTAAGTCAGTTAAAGCATGACCAACCTTGGAGAAGGGATTCCATTGTGTCCACTCTTTGAATGTTTTGCTGTGTGAACGTGGGATGATGTAATCCACAGTGTTATGATAATAGCACAGAAGTATTGAAGGAACTGTGAAATGTCTAATCTGTGCAAATGGTATTGGCCAGTTCAGTGTAAGTTCAGTAGATTGGTCTTCTTTGTCAGAAAGCCCTTGGAAACACATTTTTAGTAGCATTCGCTTTACTTGTAAAGATTAGTGATCACATTACAGTTGAAGTTCACTTAGCCTGTTTGGTAGTCTGTTTGGTAGCCCCTAACCATAGAATTCATTCAAAGCAAAACTAATTCATAACCTGTCTAAAGAAATGTTTAAAGTAGTATTGAGATTATTTATGTATATTATGCTACTGCTTGGATGATCATGGAATTGTAAAATAAATTAATTTAATTGTGAAATTAAATTATTTCAGATTATTTACTTACCTAGAAGAAATCTCTGTAAAAGGGAAAAATATTGTGTCACATTTGCCTCTCTGGAACCTTAGTAGTAGTAAAACACAGGTTCAAATGAAAGCTGTTGAATAAGTCGGCAGATCCTCGGTGCACTGTCTGATGTAGACACCTTCTTCCCTACAGTGAATTCAAGGTCAAAAGAGTTTGTTATGGTAACACTCATATTTCGAGATTTTGATGTCAAAATGTCAACTACTGAAGTTGATGCAACAGTCATTAATATTTCAGTATGTGCTGGGCACAAGTCACTAAATGAAGCTGATACTTGTTAATTCTATTGTAGCAATGTGCAGATCTCTAACTCAACAGTGAAAATGCCCAACTCCACTGCTTAAGGATAATTAGGTACTCACTGTATGATGAGTTATTTAAAGTATTAAAGGCCGGGGGTTTAGCTTAGTGACACAAGCGCCTGACTGGCAAGTGTGAGGATGTGAGTTTGTCACCAGTATCAAAAAAAAAAAAAAAAAAATTACAGGTAGAGATGAACCCATAACTAAGGATCATACATTAATTAAACCATCCCTAAGTCAAATGCTGATTTTGGGTTTTTTTTTCTGACTGAAAAAACAAAAGAGGAAAGGTTTATTTTGGCTCTCAGTTTCAGAGGGTTCAGTCCATAGTTGGCCAGCTTTCTTGCCTTCAGGCTCATGGCAAAGCAGGAACAGCATGGTGGGAAGCGGCGGAAGATGGCCATGCATCTCAAAGCAGCCAGGAAGCGGAAGGGGAAAGACCCGGAGAAGAAAGGGCTGGAGAGTTACAGACCCTTCAGAGACACCCACGTTGCTCATAAACTCGTCTGTGGGTCAGTGCATTAATGAGGTTGTTGCCCTTGAGACTCGAGCACCAGCCTCTGGACATTGCTGCCTTGGGGATCAAACTTCCAATAATGAGTCTTTGGGGCACAGTTTGTATGACATCATAAGGCCATTCAGGGAAATACAGTGTTTAAATCTCCGACTCATCCTGTCCTCCCTGTTGTGGCACAGTACCTAACCCTGGGGCCTTATGCACGCTGGGTAAGCACTCTACCCCTGAGTCACATCCCAGCCCTCCGAGCTGCCTTTTCCGTATCTCTGTTCATAGCAGTCCTGATCTTTCACTTGCTCAGGCCAGAAATCTTGGAGCCATCTTGGAGGCTTGTCAGACTTCATATCCATCCTCAGCACATCGGTTGGCGGTACCTTCAGATCACAGAACGCGAGCACTTCTCATCACTTTCTCTTCTGTTACGCTGGCCAAGTTCTCCTGATTCCTTGTTCACCACGGTAGCTTCCCCTTCTCCCTGCTTTTACCCTTGTCTGCCTTGCCGCCTGTTCTCCACACAGCCACTCCGATAAATAAACATCATTTAGGCCCGAGGATTCTGTGAGGCCCACGGGCTCCACGCTCCTCTCAAGTACACATGAAATACTTCAACATAGAGGTGTGACCTGAAAGGACTTGGACCAAAAATTGGAGCCTGTGCCCTTGTCTTTGGAGATGCTCAGCCCCTCTTGTTACTGATCTTGCTAGAATGGCCTCCAGCAGAGTTCTTTCTAGACTACTACATTGTCAGAGGTGTAGCTCAGTGGTAGAGCACTGGCCGTGTGTGCACAAGCAACTGGCTTTGATCGCCAGCACTGCAAAAAGAAAAACCAGAAATTGGTAATCAGATTTTCCTGCGTATGTAGACCTCACCTTTGGGTTAAGTCCTCAGCCTCTTCAGCTTTACTTTCTGCACTTCTAACAATCTACCAGCCATCATTACTGTTCCAGTGATGCCGGCCATGTCTTTCAAAAATTGAGTTACACTTAAAGTCCAGGTTCCAGTGATGACTTAACCAGCCTTACCTGACGGGAAGGACCATGTAGCTCCTGCCATCCTGCTTTTTTTTTTTTTTTTTTTTTAACCTCTTAACCTTTGTCTTTGCCTTTGAAACCAATTTCTCATTACACTTGTGTCAACATTCTTTGAAAGCTTCCTTTTAGCCAACATGTCTGGCCCACAAGAAATCACCTAATTGCAAGCCTTGCTCCACACTTGTGATGGTGAGCTTGTCAGAGACTGGGTGCCAGGCTGCGACCCAAAACCCACTGAATTATGCCAGGTGCCAGCACTGCAACTAAACTGAATGCTGAGGTTTTGGTTTAGAAAAAAACAGCAAAAAACCAAAACAACTCTACGTTGACATCCCTTTTAAAAACAGTAAGGCATTTGCCATTGGTTTGCACTACTGCTCTCTAGACATTATCTCATCTAAGGGGGTTCTCTCAAGGTTAATTTTCTGTCCATCTGGAAAAAGCAGTGTTTTCTGCTTGACACATCTTCCCATGGGAAAAGTATATGTGGTGTTCTGCAAATTTCATAGATTCCCTAAAAGTGGGTTAAGACAACAAAGTAGTCTATCTGTGGTCCCTGGGCTTCCTGGGACCATCCTTGCTCCCCTCCTCTCTTTCTCCTTCCCTCCCTTTTTTTTCCAGGTGGTTATTCTCAGGCCTTAGTATGTGTTGCAGTTAGGGGCTGCAAGGAGAACGATTATGTACAGGACACAATTTATAATATTATTTTATAATGGTCACCCAGAATTAAAGAAAATGCAGGAAATCTGTCCACAACACTAAAGACCTAGAAAATCCAGCTAAGGACCTGGATCCTACAGCAGCATCCTGCATGAGTTCAGATGAAGACCTGGAACCCCTCTCAGTGCCTCCCACGAGTCCAACTGGAGGCCTAAAACCCACAACAATGACTTATGCAAGTCTGCTTCACAGATCTATGCTGGGAAGGCCCAAAGGTCAATGGTGGAAGCTAGAAAGTCTGTGCTAGTGGGGTGAAGAATCTGTGCCAGTAGGTTGATAGTTCAACACTGGAACCGAGAAGGGATGCTTAAAAATAAGGACCAGCACTTCCCTGAGCTCCACTCCTCTCATGCTGAGAACAGTCGAGTTCATATCAGGAAGCCAGCGTGACAAGCTTCACCTGGAGATTAAACTGCACACCTTTCCCTCCAGCACCAACAGGTGGTGCTCAACGTAAGGACCAGAGCTCTCCCAAAGAGGGCCACAGCCACCCTCACCAACAAGGTCCCAAGCTTCTCTAGTGCTAACAGCCGAGTTCATATCAGGGGAGCCAGCATGACAAGCTTCTCCAGGAGAACCAATGGCTCCAACCAACACTTAGGGGAACCCACAATACCATGTCTCCTTTTTATGCTGTCAACTTTCCTCAGGTGGGCCATCCACACGTGGCACCATGCTGATTTAATTCAGTTTTTAGTCCATAACAGTGTGCTTCTGGACCACTTGTTGGCATCTTTAAAACTTCTAGACCCATGCTCCAAATTTCTAATTTTGTGGGTTTGAGGCTGGGGCAGGATTTTATACTTCTAATTGTTTCCCAGGTGCTATGGTGCAGCCTGTCCTAGGGTCACACATTTGTGCTCCCCTGGCACAAATGCTTCTTAAATTTGGCTACACTGAAATCAGTACCTGGAGAACTGTATGTCCAGGCAACCCTCAAAGCAAATTTAATTTGGATCTCAAAGTCAGTTCCATGCCTCAGTGTTAAAAATATTAATTTGTCAGATAATCACAATGCACTGAAAATTTTTGAGAACCATGGCCTACAGGCTTGAATTTAATTGTGCTTTGGGCCCTGTTACAGCGGTGTCCTAGAAAAACCCATCCTGTGGCACCTGAGATGATCTATACTATTACAAGGAGAGAAGACTTCATCACTGGAGTCACTAAAGTGAACCAACTGGCCGATGAATAAGAGAGAAAGGCCTTCAAATGTGTTTCATCATCTTTATGTGACACAAAAACCTCCAGGATGAAAACCCAAGACCCAAGACAGAGTATCCATTTCTATGAAGCTTAGACTGTTGTGCATAAGTTACCTGGACAGAAGGGCATGCTTTCATAGCTGTAGGCCGAGTGGGACAGCCCAGAGAGGCCTGCTTGTTTAGGTCTTCTTGGCCTCTGCGCAGCATCCTTTCTCCGCATGTGAGGGGCTGCTTCTTAAATGAAGTCTTAATGATCTTTCAGACAGGTAGGCCAGCTCTTAGAAGGGCAGAGGGAGATTGAGAGTTGTAGCTTGGTATAACTGAGGCCATCTTGTGCCCTGCATTTGACTCGTGCCCTGCATTTGACTCGTGCCCTATATTTGAAATTTTTTTTTTTTCTTTTTGAGACAAGGTCTCTATGCAGTTCAGACTGGCCTTGAACTCACTTTGTAGCCCAGGCTGGTCTCACTTGCAACGATCCTCCTGCCTCAGCCTCCCGAGTGCTGGGATTACAGGTGTGAGCCACCACACCTGGTTTATATTTGAAAAATTACTCAGGGTACAAATCCCATGAGAAAAGCAGAATAAGAGAAAAAATTAATGTGCTCAACAAAGAAGCAGGATACAGGTGTCGACCAAAATTAATGTAAGATTCTAGCTAAATTGTTTCCAACAAGATGTCTTGTTTTGAGGTTTTCTGTTCCCATGTCTTGTAACCCTCCAGTTTGGGGCCACTCGTTTTGACTCTCAAACAGGGGTCTATGCAAGTGGCTGCTGAGTTCAGCTAATAAAATTCCAAACTTTATCAATTTGGCTGCTTGGATTCCTATATTGTTTATGAACCCATTTCAAGAGTAATATTCTTTGGCTCCACGGCTTGCTTTGGGTTAGAGAGGCTTTGGTTTGTATGACTTCACTTGGGGAAGAAAAATTCTAGTTTCTCTAGCAGGCCTTATGATGAGGAAGTAGAACTGGAGACGTGGCTAGTATATCACAGAGAAACTTTGTTCTGAGGCTGCTTCTGGGCCCTTTATTTTGGGGAAATCATTTTCTGTGCCCCAACATTATATATTAGATTTCCTACTTGTGGGAAGCAAGTGAGGTCAAAAGAGGCAGACAAATAGAAACTGAGCTTAACCAGGCATGTAGAAGGTGAGCTACCTACCCCACGTGAGTGGAAAGCAGTGCTTGCAGATCACTTGATAGAAGACTCTTTAGAAACCATGCTTCTTGTATTTATGAAAGAGAAAGGGAAGAATGAGAGGCCTGAAGACTCACTAAAATGAGCCGAATGTACTGTGATCTTACTTTACTTGTGGCTTAAAAGTTCTACTCAAAGGAAATGATAAATGGGGGCCCATTCAAAGCCATGTAAACCCCACATAAGCTGCCAGGTTGAATCCTACAGCAGTGTGGCTAATATTCAGGTCTTGCTTTGTCATGCATTTGGAAATGAGTAAAAGAAGACTGAAATAATTTTGGCTTCCAAACAGAGAATCGAACTAAGATTGACTTTTAAAGGAGATTTTAGCAGGCTCTATAATAGGGTCCTGTGGGGAGACTTTGATTTCAGCCACCTGCTGAGATGTGGGGAGTGTTCTCTTCCAGCTTGGCTCAGTGAGGCTGCTCTCTTATGTTTGTTTATAAATGGGTAGGCCTAGATGACTATATTTGAATCATGACAGCATTAGAGTTCAAGGATGTCCAGGAGAGAAGGCTATCTCCAGCCTGTTTTCCTTCACACAGGATCTGTTTCCCAGCTACCAAGTCAGAGGGCATGGTTTGTAATTTTGGTTTCATATTTAGCTCACAGAATAGGATCTACTTTTCTCTACCTTCGGAGATTTTGCTTGTTGGAAATTTGACCTCACAGAGATGAGTTATACTTAACTCCTACTGCTTAAGTCTGAGCTGGTGCTTCAGATTTCCAGCTTGTTCAGTTTTGTGTCCAGCAACCAGGGTTATTATTCTCGTTTTGAACTATATTCTTAACACTAGCTAGAGCCACCTCTCACGTACCATGAAGTTTGAACTCCCTCAGAAATGCTTCACTGTGGTGAAGTTTTGCAATTCTTAAATAACTTGTTCGAATAAACCTTTATCGTCCTAATTGTTCAGAAGCACCATGTGCTTTCCTTAATTACAAAAATCTTTAGTCTTGGTACACATTTGTCTCCTTCTCATTGGTTGTATGTTGTATGCATCCCCTTTTCAAATTTTAAATTGAGATGGACATGTGAGAAGCTTTGAATTCCATATCATTTCTCCTGCTGGAATCTTTTAGCTTTCTGTTAATTTCTCTGACTTTGTCCTTAACCCTGAAGTGGCATCTTAAAATCCACACAAAACTCCCATCTCCATTTCCTGGTTGCTACTTGTGGTGACCAGTTACAACTCTAGCTGTTCCCAGGAGGAAGGCTGGTGAAAGGATAAAAAAATAAAGAAAAGAGACCAAAGCTGGGGTCAAGTGGAGCCCTCCTTCCTGATGGGAGCGGAGGAACAGCTCAACCACTGTAGCACATTTATTTATACGCTCAGGAGGATGATGACAATTTCAACCCTGCTGCCTCTCAACTTGTTTGCCTGGCTGGCCTGGGCCCCTTATGTTCTTGGAGCTGAAACACCTTGTTTATATGACTTGCTTTGGGCTCTCTGTATTTGCAGGGCTGGCCTTGCTTTAGCCCAACACATGTGATCAATCTCCAGCTTCAGCAGCTCCCTATTGTAGCTTCTCAGGAATGGCCTGTGGTTTTTTAATAGCTTACACCAGAGACTTCAATGCTTATTCAACAGTTTCCAAAACAAAGCAAGTCTTTTAAGGAGCTATCTTAGGTTGCTGAGACAAAATACCTCACACCTGCAATTTAAAGAAGAGAGGTGTATTCAGGATCACAGCTTCAGAGGGTTCAGTCTATGGTCAGGTAGCCCTAAGGCACAGACATCATGGCAGAAGGGCCTGGGTAAAGTTGCTCACATCATGTCAGCCAGGAAGCAGAGACAGAGAAAGCCAGGAAGCAGAGAGGAAGGAGCTGGCACCAGCAGATACAGTCCCCTGGGTTATGACCTACCCCTACACTCCCACAAGCGTGTTTTATTCCCGTAGGGATTTCTTAAACTAAACTAATCAAGATGATAAGAGTAACCATATACCTTGGTAGATGGGCACGAACGGAGCTTTGCGTCAGGCCCAGAAGGTACACTGACTCTTCTTGCTTCTTACAGTACAATTGTAACCGAAAGTCTCTCAATGATAGATTGAACATCCCTTCTGAAATCCTTACTCTCATGTTGCTCCTTAACCACTTTAGTGAGCTGAAAAACAGGTCTCTCGAAGAAGTTTAATCTCAGAGTAGTTGCACACTAATCCTCATGGCCTGTGCAGGGTTAATCTCTGCACAGTATCTCAAATCCTGTATCTGGCTTTCAGATTCATGATGTAGTTGCTTTCCTACTCATTTCTGGAGGGGAACTTTTGTACAGATTCAGTCCTGCATTTTAGCACAAAGGATCCCAGGTGAAGAATCAATAATGCCTCATGCCAATTGGGTTCTGTAGACTCTGCAATCTAACTTGCTTTGTCTGCACAGTACCTTAATCCGGGCATGCAAATCAGCAGGTCTTTGTGATTCCCTAAGTAGTTCTATCAAAATGTCATGTGTTTAGCAATTTTATTTAAGATTTGACAAGTTCTTGGGTTGGCTTACATCAAACACTGAACATCCTTCAACATTTGATTTGGTTTTCTGGCTCACCTTGTCCTCTCTTCTCAAGAGAAAACAATTTCCCTTCCTTGTTTCATACAGAGGTTCTGAAGCCTTGGGGTTGGGAGAGGTATCTATGCTCCTCAGTGGTTCACTTTAAGTGGGCTTATTTATGAGACTGTGTATCTAACAATGGCAAGATTTCTTGCTAAAAGGAATTCTCAAGGTTTTGTTAAGAGAAGAAACACGTCCTCCTTTTATTGGTCCCATCCAAGATGGTGTTAAAACAGTTTATGAACATTTTTCCACATAATCCTTAGCAGTCTTTTGAAGGAAGCAGGGTTATTCCATTTCTGAAGAGACAGTGAGACTCAGAGAAGTTATGAAATTTAAAAGCATATGGCTGGTGGATGGTGGAACTGAAGAGTCTAGAGTGCCATTGTTAGCCTGTGTTTTTATTATCTTAAGTATCAACAATATTCCTGACACGAGGCTGATTTGTAAGATCCTTACTCTTGTTGTACTTTGTGCAGTATCATGCCAGAATGTACAATAAATGGGTCTAAATAGGACAAAGATCTCTATCCTCAAAAGCAAGGGTACATACACCTTATATATTTAAATACATATTTTATATTATTAGAAATCTATGCCTATGCAAATGGATTGAGCAAACTTTTAATGCCTTTAGCATTAAAGCATTGTCTATTGGTTGTATGAGGTTAACAAATAACACAACCGAATAATTACTATTTATTTAGAGAAAGATACTGTTTTGGTTTCTCTCAACTACAGTGTAAAACACAGGAGGTGTCCTAGGTTCTTAAGAACACACTGCGTTTGGCTTATAAGGCACATTCACTTGAAAAACTGTTGCAAAAATAAAAAAGAACAGTGTTAAACAGTGGTGCAGGTGAGTCAGTACTAGAATCCTAGGGTTACAGAAGTCTACACTGAACAGGTGAAATTTCAATAGTTTTATTTTTACTTTCCTTACAGTTTTACAGTACATAACTACATTGCTCTTGGGGAGTTGGCACATGCACAGCACACACCGTTCATTCTTTAACTGTCCTCTTTCCCATCCTTCCCACATCTCGTGAGCCCCTTCTCATTTGCAAAAGTTCTATCCCTGTTTCCTATTATCTTTTACTTTGCTTTTTAAATTATACTTTGAGTTTCTATTATCAGGAAACCAAGCAATATTTAAACTTGTGAGTCTGACTTACTTCACTGAGCATTATGGTCTGAGGGTGCCTCCAGTTTCCTACAAATGACTCAAATTTATTCGGGCCAGTTTGAAGGAGGATCTGAAGAGATGCAGAGAAGCTGGAAGTACATTCCAGGTGGGAGGATCCCGGGAACTGCACCGTCTCCCGGCCACTTCCTCCTGAAACCGACTAGCTCCCCCACCAGCTCCTCACGCGTGGAGACCCCAGCGCAAAAGGTTCCTCTTCCATAAATACGTCCTGAGTCTTCTTTCTGGCGCCGGGAGTATCCGACAGCGCGAGAGTGGCCGCGCTTCCGCTTCCGGTCCTCCAGGCTCCGCCTCCTGGGAAGGGGCTCCGGGCCTGGAGAGAGCGGGGAGCCCACGCGGCTGCGCAGGCGCAGAGAGGGCGGCTGCAATGGCGTTGTCGTGCAACCTGAACAGATATCTGCTGCTTATGGCGCAGGAGCATCTGGAATTCCGCCTGCCGGTGAGGCCGCGGCGAGTTCCACACTGTCCCTGGGAGAGGACCGTGGGTGGGGATTGCTGTGGATAAAGCGCTCTGCACTGCAGGGCATGCAGCAATTCAGGGTCTTTGTTGAACTGGGAGAATCTTGCGACCCGGATCCTTGGGCTGTTGGGCTGGGGGCTGAGCTTAGCGGAGGATATGAGAGAGGTGTTCTCGACAAACTCCTGTGGCCTTGCTGAGCGCGTTCATTCATTCCTCTGCAAGTGCGCAGGCGCCGGGATTCAGAGATTCCAAGAACTATTGGTCTAGCAGAGGATGGGGACCTCCGACAAGAGTCGGCCTGAGGTGCTGAGTGTCACAGGCGCGGGGAAGGGGTGGATGGTGAGGTTAGTCCAGAAAAGGGTTGATTTGTTCAAGAGAGGTTTATGGAGTGCCTGAAAGTGCAGAGACGAAGGTGCACACGCGGAGATAGCGAGGCACTCAGCGGGGTGGGGATGTTTGCCTTCCAGAGGTGACAAGCTACAGGAAAATTAGTTGGTCACTGATCCAACATTAGGATTACAAGCTGTTCATTATTACTGGGTCGCTAGGTATGCGGCAGAGTGTAAGGAGAAAGCAGGAGAAGTAGGTGGGGCCCGAAAACGGAAAACCCTGAATACCTTAGACTTAGAATTTATTGAAGATTTTTAAGCAAAGAAGTGGCAAAATGTATCTCCTCATCACTGAGATCAATATCTGGGAAGAATTGGGCAGAAAAATGACTTGAGCCAGAGACTAGTTAGGATAGTCTTGCGAGTTGGTTAGGGGTTGACCTAAGGAGCAGTAAGAGGGCGGGAGAGACTGGGAAAGCCCTTAGGTGATAAGGTCATCGGGACTTGCTGACAGAGGGCAGAGGGAAGAGGAACCAGCCAGCATGACTTCTTGGCTGGATATAGTAGTTGTGTCTCCACTCAAAATAGAGAATGCAGGCACATGTTAAGATTTCACTTTGATTGTGCTTAATTTGAGGTGCTCATGTAAGGAGTGGAGATGACCAGGAGGTGCTGGGTATTCCAGACCCAGAGTGATAGAGTGGGCTGGACTGGTGCTAAACATCTGGGCATTTCTGCATCTGGCACATGTGGCACAAGTGCTGCAGCTGGTAGTTTGTTATCACTGAAACAATCTAAAAGATACACCATCACTCAGGTACCCAATCAGAGTTGGGTGACTCCTTAGATTTCTTTCTTCTGGTCCTATACAGATATAAGCTGTTAACAACTGTTTAAGACTTATAACCAGGGATACTGTACTGACTTACGACCCACCTTTTTTTTTTTTTTTTTTGGATATGCTTTTGTACATCTTGTTTGTAGCATTTCAGTGTCTTTTTTTGTACAGTACACCTTACTTATATAGTATTGTAATTTTGCTGACTGTACTATATTGTACAGTACTGTACTTTTGTGTTCTGTTGTACATTACAATACTGCACATGAGTTATGCAAATAAAAGCAAAGTTATCAAGCTGGCCTTCCCTGTGACCATTTCTTTGCTGTGACTCTTACAATGTATGCACTATTTTCAATTCATCACTTAGTGACCAAGTCATTTACCAGGCTGGTTGCAGGAAGACAGCTGAATCATTGAACAGGAGAGTGTGTCCTCTTCTCATCCTTCTGGCTCTGGACTCCAGGTGGCTGTTCCACCTCACAACTACTTTTTGAAAATGGTTAAGGACCTTAGGGAAACAGTGGCTCCACTTGGAACCCTGTGCTTGTCTTACTCTTGCTGGCTCCTTCTTGAAACTCCCTGGCCTTTGAGCAGATGTCTGGTTTTCCCCTTCCTTCCTTCCCAGCGGGAGGCTCACTCTGAATCTCCCAGTTGCCATCCCGTAAGTGGCTGTCGCTGCCATGGATTTAGATGCTTCTTATTTTCCAGTTTCCACGACTCTTCCCTCCTAAAATGATGTTATCACTTTCTCCCTTGTACCCTACCACTTTCTTGCTTTCACACTTCAATTGTAGGGTTCAGTGTTTTGTTAATTCCACTAGGCCTCTAGGTCTGAGAAATAAAAACATTGAGCTTTTCATAGCTCAGTGCCTTGTACATATTAGTTGCTCTGTAAATGTTGAGTTTAATGAAATAGGATCTCTTCCTAGAAGACAAGCAACATACCACTTTTGGGCTCATCTCCCAGCGAGAAAGTTGTAAGGCAGGTAGTGTCTTAAAGTATTAAAATGAGAGATTAGGATGTAATTGTGGTTCAGTTTTAATTCTGATAAGAGTTAATCAGGCTGACTTTGATTGTCAGTTGTCTTATACTTTTATTTTTGGTGGTACTGGGTATTGAACTCAGGGCCTCGTGCCTGCTAGCAAGTGCTTTACCACTGAGATACACCCCCAGTTCCCTATCTTACTGTACTAAAGGTATAGTTCAGACTTCTGTATTTATTGGTGGTCGAGCATGGTGGTACATGCCTATAAACCCATCACTGGGAAAGCCAGAAAAATAGTTCTGGTCGAGCATGGTGGTACATGCCTATAAACGCCATCACTGGAGAAGCCAGAAACAGGAGGGTCACTGCAAGTTGAAGGCCAGCCTGGGCTACATAGTGAGTTCAAGGGCAACCTGAACCACGTAGTCAGAACCGGTCTCCTCCCCTCCAAAGCAAATAGTTCTGAAAAAACAAATAATAAAAATAATAATAGATGGCATGGATTAATGACTCATACTCATCATGCACCCTTAGATCCAATACTCAATATACAATTCCTTTTTATTCTTAATACAGATTTTCCATTGCAAAGTGAATTTACCATGAATGAAAATCTTGTGTTTTGCTCTTTCAAGTAGTTTGATAAGAACATTTTAAACATGTTTTGATTATAATGAAACTTGGGTAATCACAGTTACCCACAATTTTACGTGGTTGCTTAAGTTTCGGGTAGTGGAGCTAATGGATACCATAAATAATTCTTCACTCCCTCTCCCCATTCCTTATCAGGATTTATTTTAGCAAAGAAAGTGTCCAGGACCCCCAGTTGGATTAGGGCAGGCCCTGGCAAAACAGCCTGGAAAGCAAGAGACACACTCGGTTGCCCTAGGGGTTTGAGGATGAAGCTCTCGCCAGGGGTGGCCTTGCCCCTGTGTCGCCGCTGTGCTTTGCCAGACCCCCGCTCTGGGGGTGAACTGGGGTGATGTGGTGACCTTGACGTCCACACCCCTGAGGGATGGGTTGAGCCTCTTCTGTAGAAGCCTTGCCCCCTTGCCTGGGGAATCCCTGCCCCTTCCTCTTTATTCTCTCCAGGAGCCTCCCAGAAAACAAGGTCTTCGTCTGGCTGAACTGCCTGGAAGAGCCCTCTTGCATTCTGATCAGTTTGGCCAAGTGGACGTGAATTGTGCGTTCAGAGAGCTCAGATTCATTCCTGTTGTCAGTAGCTGCTGCTGCGTCTTCTGCCAACTCAAATGCAATGAAGGTGAATCCTCGGTGCCTCACTGTCATAATTTAGAGGGATCTGAACAGCTGATGTCTCTAAAAGAAAAGCAGCAGGAAGAACTTTGTGGCCACCTCTTCTGCCAGCCCTCCCACGTATGGCAGGCCCGGACTAGTGGCCATCTTGCTCGCGGACTTGCAATCTTGGGTCCCCCATCCATTCCTGAGACATCAATATTTTAGCCTGTTGGTGCTTTTTCACAGTGTATTCCAGAAGCAGCAGATTTTGATGTTTTAGCTTCAAATGGTGTTTTATCTTCGGGTGTGCTAAATACACAGCTGATTTCACAACATGCTTTCATATGGGGACAAAAAGAATCACGTATGACTTAAGTAACTTAACCTGTAGCTTCGTTGTTCTGTGTCTTGCTTGACTTCTTGAAACACTGAACTGCAAGGACTGTGTGTGGGAGCATTGTCATCATTTTAATTTCCCTAATAACAGCCTCAGTTTCCATGCTCTGCATGAAGGAGCTATGCTTACTGTTTTGAGTATAAGGGAACTGTGAATCACTGGAACTATAAGTTTCATGTACAAAATCACAGAGCTTAAAATGTATAAAATCACAGTGTATGGATCTGCAAATGAAAATCAAATTTTCCTCAGTTTGATTTGTCATTCTCAACAGTGTTTCCCGTTCAAGTTTGTGTTATGAATGTCACAAAATGACATTTGGGCTACCTTCACTGATTTGCTGGTAGTCTGTGCTAGTTGGGGTCTATCTGTGTTAGCAGGGTCTGTTCACCCCCTTCTAATATAACGCATAATTTGGTGCATAGACTAAGGGGAAATAGAAATGGCACTAGTGGCTCAAATCTCTAATACCTTTTGATCTTGGGGTAGGAACTTGGTGGAGGGGGTTATTCTGCTTGCTTTATGTGCAAGGAGATGATTTGTTAGTGGTACAAATTGTAAAATTTGTATAACCATTTAGCATTTATCAATATAAAAAGATAACTTCCAAGAATGTGCACATGTGATTTCAACTTTGCATGCATGATATATTTAAATAATGTATTGTGTTCTTAGTGGTATAATTATTGTTTTTTTGGTAGAGTTATCAAGAAAAGTTAACTTAATGCTCTTGAGCTCAATGAAGCTAATTAACTTCAATTAGAAATAATTTCAAATCATCTTTTGAGTTATTTTTATTATCAGTTTTTAGGCTAAATAATCTGTAGTGCCTAGAATTGGTTATTTCCTTTTTAAAATCAAGACATCAGTTTTTTGATCCTGTCTTCTGGCAGCTCTCATATTGTCTAAAATTTGTCTAGACTAAATTGTGATGGTGACTATAGAAGTTGTCTGATTTTGAAATTTAAAAGCTTGAAGTGGTTCTCAAGCCACTCTGTTTTATCTATTAATCATATTAGGCCTGTTTCTCTTAGTAAAACTTGAGTTCTCTGTTTAAAATGTATTCTCTTTATAATATTTTCAAAACAGGAAATAAAGTCTTTGCTTTCACTTTTTGGAGGTCAGTTCTCTAGCAATCAGGAAAGTTATGGAAAGGTAAGATGAATTTTTACTTGCCCATCTGTAGAATACCTATACATAAATAAAACATTAGATTTGAAGAGAACTAACATGCCTAAATTTCTATTTGTGTGATTACTTGTTTCTATTTCTAGAGGCAATTAAAGGAAAAGATACTTTAAAAAAAACTGGCTTTGGAAAGTAAATTTACTTTCGTTTTATTCATTTATTTATTTTTTTGCAGCAGTGGTAATTGAATCCAGGGCATTACACGTGGAAGGCAAGTGCTGGTTACAACCCCAGCTCAGTTTTAGTTTTTAACTCACCAGTCACACCGTAATTTGTGTGTGTTCTTTCATTGCAAAAAGAACACTCTTCCTTTGTTGAGGTGTATTTTGCATTGAACTTGGTAGAATTTTAGGATCAATTGGAAATTTATGCTACAAAGCCCCTCACTTACCCCTTGGTTGGCCATAGCTACCTAGAAAATGAGAGACCATCTGATAACTGAAGAAATACATTACTTAGAAGTTAAACAAAATTACCTGTATTACAAGGAATAGCTGGATCGTAAGGTTGTATTATAAGGAACTTGACAAAGATAAAAATTCTAAGATTCATATTCTGTGGTGTAATACACGTTAATTCTTTCAGACAAGCTACATAAAGGCAAATACCAAATTAATTTTAAATAGATTCAAATTTAATTTACAGATGTGTTCATTTATGAGGTCATGTATGAAAGCGTTTTTACATTGCACTATTACCATAAAAAGTAACCTATAAAAAGTTCAAGTTTTTCAGTGAGAGTGACTTTTATCTTGGTTAAGGTCAGCTCAGATATTCTACCATGAAGGGAGGAGTTAGCAATTTGTCGTGCTGGTCTTGAGTCTATGAGTACCTGGCCTGTAGCCACTTGGAGGTAAATGAGTTTTGCTGTTTCTTTCAGTCTCCATTTTGGATTCTTAACATTCCCTCCGAAGATATTGCAAGAAACTTAATGAAAAGGACAGTGTGTGCCAAGTAAGAGAAACTTGGTCTCTCTTTTCGAATATGTATCAGTGAACGGTAGAGGAATGTGGCTGCCTTTACTGTTGGATGGTGGAGGTCTACAGGGGAAGGGTGGCTTGCTGGAAACAGGGGGAGACTCAGCGTGGAAATAAGATAAACTCGTTTAGAGCAGTTTTTCAAAAATTCCTTATTAAGCAGGAGTATGGCATGGGATGTCCAGGCTGTGTTTGTATGTAGGAAAGAACTCGTGTTTAATTATTACTAAAAACCCCGAAATGCTTTTCTTGCACGAAGTTTTTAGTTGGGTAAACACTGGTAGAGTAGATGACAAAATGTGGGGCTCGCTGTGACGTGTTTGCTGTTCTATTTAGGAATGGAGTTGTCACAGTCTATAGTGCTGTAAATTATTGAAGCTGTTCATTGTCTGTCTTGAGTTTTCCTAGGTTAGTCACTGACCTCTTTCCTTTTTTTTTTCATTTTTCTTTAAAAAATTTTGTTTTGATACATACTTTTTTCTTTATCTCAGTTTTTTCCCCTGAACATTTTGATAGATTGTTGAAAACTTTTTCATGGAATTACATTCTCTTTAGAACTACATATATTTTTGTTTGCAGTGCAAATGAGAATTTATGTATGTGGTTGTGTAAGAAGGCAAATAAGAATATATCTAGGTTTATTAACGTAGTTAGCAGTGCTTTAGGGTGTGATATGTACTTGCTGTCTTTTTGAATTGGCTGCACCCTCATATTTAGTTAAATTCATGCTGCTGAGGTGTAGCCCTAAATGTACCTGGAACCTAAATCTAATCTTTTGAGCTGAAAATTATTAATGACTGTTGTTTATTAAGCAAAAATGACTAGAAAATCAGAACTATAAAACATTCTTTATCAAACTATAAAACATACTATTGTAGCTTATATTAAAATCTACGTCTATGAGGTATTTGAAAGACAGTTTGTTATGTTTAAAACAGCTATTGGAAGGCCGAGGTTTTTTTTGTTTTTTGTTTTTTGTTTTTTGTTTTTTTTTGTCTTTTTCCTTTTTATCGGTACCGGGGATCGAACTCACGACTGCCTGCTTGCAAGGCAGGCGCTTATGCCGCTGAGCTAAATACCCAGCCCATGGCCGAGGTTTTTTCTTTATCTTAATTTTTTTCCCCCTGAATGGTGGCACAAGTGCCTACCTGGCAAGCATGAGGTCATGAGTTCAATCCCCAGTACCCCCCATCAAGAAAACAAAAACAAAAACAAAACTACTGGAGTACAAAGTGTATATATATGTATATTTTAAAACTCATATCATCTGATGCATTTATGTAATGAATGATAAATATATAATAAATTTAAGTTGCTTTTTAGTCTTTGTATAATTTGCTTTGCTGAGGTATTCCTCACTGTAGAGGTCTTTACTGTATAAATCAATAGAAAGAAAAGGAAGAATTCAGTTTATAAAGGATAATATCTGCAACCTCATTGTAACAGAAGAAAAATAAACCCATAACCTGCAGTACGCGTGCCACAGCAGGCTGTTTGTCTCATTGAAAGATCTAAGACTGAAAACTAATTTAAATTCAGATTTTTTTTTTGCTGTAGAATAAGGATTAATATTTAGTTTATTTTTAGCGTGGGCTATATTGAGCAAACCACAAAAGGAGTGAAAAATGTAGCAAATCCCTTGGTCCACACAGTAATGTTTTAATTTGGTCCATTTGTCTTCCCGAGAAGCTGTAAGGAGCCACCTTTTCTCTTGTTAACTCCCATGTGTGTGACTGCGCTGGGTCAGTTGTCCTAGGACAGCTGTCAGTGCCGGGGAGGGCAGAGCAGGGGCTTAGCCTGCTCAAGGACCGGGCGGGTTTCCCTCCATGCGTGTTGGGACACGAGTTATAGATGTTTCTAGGATACAACTTCTCATTTATAGCTTAGGAAAATGTAAGCCGCGATTGTTTTAGTGGAGCAAGCACAAGAGTTTAAGGAAGTAATTGTTATTTTTTTCCCTGAGAACCTAGTTCTCTGCTGAGGCTCTTACGGGTCGTTTGTTTCCTAGGTCCATATTTGAGCTGTGGGGTCACGGAGAGTCAGCCGAGGAGCTGCACAGTTCTCTTAAAAGTTACCCCCTGGAGAAGATGGTGCGTGGTGAGCTGCGGGTTCCGGGGGGCCTGTGTGCACAGTCTCTGCCATCGCTGAGTGTAACAAACTGAATCTCCTTTTATTTTAGGTTCCATTTCTGCACCCAGACTCTACCTATAAAATAAAAATCCACACGTTTAACAAAACACTGACCCAGGAAGAAAAAGTCAAGCGAATCGATGTAAGTGAACGCGGGCAGCCCGAGTGCCCCGGGGACCCTGCGGTCCTGGTCGCCCGAGACGCTGGTCTTTGCTTTTCGTGGTTTGTGTCACTTAGCGCTGACACCAGGGGTACCTGGTAGGTATCCCGGTTACACCAAGGCTGCTGTTCTAGAGGACGTTAGCATCACTTTTATTTTCTAGGCACTTGAATTTCTGCCGTTTGGAGGAAAAGTGACCCTAAAGGACCCACAGCACATATTCTGTATTCTGGAGGACTATGGTTTGAACCCAAATTGCATCCCCGAGAAGCCACATAATATTTATTTTGGTAGATGGGTGAGGAAGTGTTCTGCTTCACTTTTTTAAAAAACTAAGTGTGTTCCACCAGGCATGCCTATAATTCCACCACTTGGAAGGTTGAGGCAGGAAGGTTGCTGCAGATTTGAGGCTGGCCTGGGCTACACAGTGAGTTCAAGGCCAGCCTGCACCACATAGTGAGACCCTGTCCCCAAACAAACAAAACAAAACAACAACAAAACTCAGAAAAATCTAACCAGACAGACAAAGAAAGACCCAGTGCAGCCCCGGATATAGCTCTCAGTGCCAGAGCACTTGTGTGGCGTGTGGCAGGGGTTTGACCTAGGTTTTGATCTCTAGCAAGAGCGCAATGCTTGTCTTTGTGTTTGACTCTTTTACGTGTAGAACTGTGAAGCAAGTGAAGGATCAGTGCTGCTCTGTAGTAAAACTGGTGAAGCGTATGTAATTGTGGCTTGTTTTGCATTTTTATGGAGAAAGAAATGTCCCTGTTGAAATTAAAACAAGATGCCAGATTTGAATGGGATCTTTGAACTGAGCTATATCCCTAGTGTTTTTTAAGATTTTGAGACAGAGCCTTGCTAAGCTGCCCAGGCTGGTCTTGAACTTTTGCTCCTCCTGCCTCAGCCTCCCAGAGTGCTGGGATTACAGGTGTGCACTGCCATGCTGTGGACTGCTTTCATTTTAATAAAACAGAGGGTGGGGTGGCCTGCTGCGCAGTGAGGGAGCCTGTGAGTGGAGGTGTCGGATTTCAGGCCTCAGCGGTGTGAAGCAGTGGAATTGCCATCCCGCTGCTGTCTTGTTCACATCCTGGGGTTGTCAGAGGTTGAGTGGGCGCTGAGAATCATAATTATTCTGATTTAGATTATTGGTATTTAAATAAAACACACGGGGATGGCTTATCTTTGTCTTTGGGATAATAATTAACATTTGGTTTAAAAAGGAGAAAACATAGATGAGAAGACATTAAAAGCACTGTAAGTGTGAATAACTGCGGCCACCCCGTTGCTTTAAAGCAGTGACTTCGGGAGTAATAGCAAGTGGGAAGATGTTCCCTGCAGCCTGGTGGGTTACACTGCTGTGAATCTGAGAACTATCTCCGCTGTAGATTGCAGACGGGCAGAGAGAGCTGATCCAGTCCTACAGTGTCAAAAAGAGACACTTCATCGGGAACACAAGCATGGAAGCCGGCTTGTCATTCATAATGGCCAACCACGGGCGGGTGAAGGAGAACGATGTTGTCTTCGACCCCTTTGTGGGGACAGGTATCTTTACAGGGCTATTGCACCGCCGTGGAGATGTTGCTTGGTTGGATGTGACAGTGAAGATCATAGCTTTATTGTTGGTGTGGATTTAAATGGACAAATGATCCTTTAATTTTTGTTAAGATCTAAGAGACATGCTTGTGAAATAGTATTTCACGCTTGTGCCACTTTGTAGATGATTCTGATAGCATTTTGTGGGTTTTGTTCCTAATAAACCAGTCCTAGGGAGTATCTATCTATACATATTTTTCATAGTGGAAAACCCTAGTAGTAACATATGTTACAGAAATGATATAAAGCACTATGGTTTATTTAAGTCTGAAAACTCTTGGGAAAGGACTTCAATGACAGAATTTAGTATATGTGCTGTTGAAGAGAGCACTTAAATGACAGAATTTAAAAAGAAAGTCCTTTTTTCGGTACCAGGAATTGAATTCAGGGCCTTGGCGCTGTCCCCTTCCTCTCTGGGACTGTTCCCTGGCTCTGCTCCCCCATGGCCTTCTGCCTCGGAGCAGCTGACTGTGGACTGAACCTATGAGCGAATGAAACCTCTCCTCTGTGAAGTCATGGGAACTGGGTATCAGCGACAAGAATGCTCACTAATAGGAACCATCTGTCACTCCAGCATTATGGTTTAACTGACTTCTTGGAGCAGCTAATGGGCTACTTTGGAAAATGTGAAATTATGGCATAGAGGGCCAACTTTATACGTTGTAACAGCTCACAGTCTCACACTACCAACCCGAGGGCGCACGCCCCACCCAGGGTCAGGGAGCTTTTCTGCCAGCCAGGAGCTACATTGTGAACTGAGGAGTCTTGTAACCACCTGTGATAGGAAGGAATGGTGTCCTGTTAAGGGGTCTCAGGATTGTTGGTGTCTGATGGTACTGCATTAACTCACTGCTGTGCCAGAATCTACACGTGTCCCACCTTCAACATGTCTGTTTTTATTCCCTCCTTCATTATCTTAAGCACTTTCTCTACACTTGGAAATTTTATTAGAAATAACATTAACCTTACACAAAACTCACAAGCAGAAACACAGAACAGAGGACACTCATGTGTTCCAAGCTAGCTTCAGGTATTGCTGGCATTGGGATTCATTTGCTTTATTACTATTACTACATTTTTGGAGACAGGGTCTCACTATGTGGTCCAGGCTGACCTTGAACCTGCTATGTAGCTGAGGATGGCCTTGAATTTGTGACAGTCCTCCTGTCTCAAACTCCTGAGCGCTGGGATTATAGGTGTGTGCCAGCACACCCACCTTTTAAATTAATTTCATTGGCACATTTTTGACATACATAATGATCACCATCATCATCGGGAATTTATACCGGTACATATTGTATCTTTTCCCTGCGCCTCCCTTCACCCTTCTTCCCTCCTTATTTACAAAAGCTTTGTTTTCATTTTTTTGTTCCTTTTTTTTAATTCATTCCCCTCGCCCCCTTCTCTTACTCCTCTTCTCACTTGAACATTTCTTCCTCCTTCCCAATACGTTATCCATTTTGGTCCTTGCTTACCCTTTTTGATTTCTCACACCAGAGAAACAATATGATATTTAAAATGTGTGCAGTTTGTTTCACTTAAAAGTATGGTCTCAAACTGTATCCATTTAGTTAGGAATGTCTCAAGATTATGCTTCTTTATTGCAGAGTAGTACTCTACTGTATATAAAAACCATATCTTCATTATCTGTTCATCTGTTGATGGGCATTTGGGCTGTTTCCAAGATTCAGCTATTACAAACTGTGTCACTGTAAACATAGGTGTGTATATATCACTGTGGTGTGATGCTTTTAACTCTTTAGGGAAGCAACCAAGAAGGAGAATACCTGGGTCAAATGAAACCCCTAATTTTAGTTTTTTAAGGAATTTACATATTGCTGAGGATATAGCTCAGTGGCATAAGTGCCTACCTGGCAAGTATAAGTTTCTGAATTCGATTTCTGGTACAAAAAAAAGGAATTTCCATATTGGTTGCACCAGTCTACACTCTCATCAACAGCAGAAAAGGGCTCCTTTCTCCCCACAGCCTCGCCAGCACTTGTTATTGGTTGATTTCTGGATTACAGCCATTTTTTCTGAGTAGAATTCCACCATTTTTTAAATTTGTATTTCTCAAATGATAATACTGAGCATTTTTTTCATATATTTATCTGTTGTTTGTATTTCTCCATCTGAGAAGCATCTATTCATTCTATTCATTTCAGATCCCCATTTTTGGATTGGGTATTTATTTAGAAGTTTGAGGTGCTTTTTTGGGGGGGGGATATCTGTGTATTCTAGATGTCAATCCTTCATCTGAGGAATAGTTGGTAAAAAATTTTTCCCATCATGTGGGCTGTCTCTTTACTTTTGGTTTCTTTTGCCATGAAAAAGCTTTTTAGTATGATGAGATCCTAGTTGATTCTTTGTAATATTTCCTAGGTGTTGGGGTTTCATCCATAAAGTCTTTGCCTGCATATATGTCTTTAAGAGTTTTCCTTTTCTATCTTCCAGGAGATTTAGTGTTTCTGTTTTAATATTTAGATCTTTGATCCATTTTTTGTTTAGTGCCTGGTGAGAAATACAATCCTTGGCATGTGGAAAGTCACTTTTTTCCAGCACCATTTATTAAAGAGGCTATCTTTCTTTTAGTGAAGGTGTTTGGCCCCTATGTCAAAGATAAGGTGACCAAGGGTGTTTGGAATTGGTTTTGCATCTTCTTTGTTCCTTTGATCCTTGGATCTGTTTTTTGCCAATACCATGCTGTTTTTATCATAGTTTTTTTGTATTATAACTTCAAGTCAGGGATAGTCATATGCCCTGTCTTACCTTTGTCTGTGTTTGCTTTGTGGCAGCTCTTAACGGTGGGCAGTATGATTTGGTCAATTTACTGCTCATAGGACAGCTAATGTCAAGTGAAAGGAGGATTTTGCAAAGATGCAGCTAAAATGTATTTTCATAATTTGTAATTTACAAGCACGGCTTTTAGGACGTATGCCAGTTTCAGGACATTTTTGTTTTGAAACTGGCTGTAATCTGTAATTGTCTGCAGATCACTCTTTTCTCTGCCTGGGGCTCTCCCTCAGTGATGGAGGACTTTCCTTCTGAGGGACTGAAGACATAAGTAGCCCTGTGCCTTCTTCCTTGGCTACAACTTTTCACAAAGTATTTCACATCTTTATCTTTGGATTGTTTTTTCATTTTCTTTTAAAAAGAAACTTTTAAACTTCAAAAAAGTTTTTAAAATTTTTTAAACTTTAAGAGTTTTAAGTGTATGTAATTCTTTTTTTCCATTTTAAAGGTAAAAAGTGGAAGTGTATGTATTTTCCCAAATGCATTACCCACAGATTATTCATGACTTGTGACTTTCGCAGGCTTGTGGAGTAGGGTAGAAATCTTTCTGTACCTAAGACCTTTTTTTTTATCTCTAGACAGTTTGCTTCTGGTGTTGAGAATGACATGAACTGCAGAAACACTTTTTCTGTTTTAACGATATATTCTCATTTTAATTCTCTTCTTCATCTTCTTTTTAATTTTATACATTGCATATCTCTAGTTTCCAAATGGGGAGGATGCCTATCCTTGGGTCAGCTCCCACTCGTTAAGCAGTCCTGTTGTTTTGATGTGGGTAGCTACAGGAGTGGTCATTGTGAATACGTGGACTCTCATGTAGCAAGGCTTTGCCTAGATGTGATACAAGACCTATGAATGGTATGCAGGTGCTGCTGAATATACAAGTTTACCTACTTAAGTTGTTTACCAACACATTTTTCTTTTGTTTATCTAATCAGTAAGTGTGTTAGTAAACTTTCTATTGCTGTAACAAAAGTATCTGAAGCAGTTAACTTATAAAGAGAAACCCCCCACAGTTGTGAGTTTGGTTCACAGTTTAGAAGTTCTGGACGAACTCTGGTGGACCCACTGATGTCAAGGCCCTGGTGGGTGTCACATGGCGGTCACAGAAAGCACATGGCCAACCACATTGCTTACCTCATAGCTTAGACGCAGAAGAGGAAGAAGGATGGGCTAGGTTTCCACAGTTCACCCAAGAGCCCAGACCCGGTGACCTGAGGACTTTCTGTCAAACCTCCATGCTGGGACCAGTCCTTTAACACATGGATGGCTGGAAGACATTTAACACCCAAACTGTGAGCTATGCAAGAGGAGCTAATGCACATTTACTTCAACTGGTGTTGTAAAAGAAAGTGTATGTAGCATGAGGTCTAAAATATTTATTCTGCCAATTATTCTGTGACTTTGGGCATGACCTGTGTATGTTGCAGGTTAATCATTGTGAAGTGATGACAGTCATATATTGTAAGACATGAAATAGGTAATGTGGGTATATAATATTCTTAGGAAATAATGTTTGATTCATGATAGACACTCAGTAAACTGTAATGGGTATTATTATGTTTTAATGATTATTTTCTTAAGAGCTGAGATTCCTTTTTGGGGAAAGATGTTAGATATAGCTAATACTAAATGGTGATGATGAAGAATTTGACCACTAATTTATTTTCTAGTCACTTTTTTTTTTTTTTTGTCTTTTTGCTTTTTATCGGTACCGGGGATCGAACTCATGACTGCTTGCTTACAAGGCAGGTGCTTATGCCACTGAGCTAAATCCCCAGCCCCTCTAGTCACTTTTTTTGACTGATTTCTAAAATGTTTGTAATTTGGGACTATTGCAGCAAGCAAGGATGTTGAGGCTTAAAATCATAAATGTCTGTTTGTGATTAATTGTTACACAGTATGCCGATCACTGTAGGCAGCACAGGGCTCCAGGTCTCTCTCCTCCGCTCTCTGTTGTGTGAGTCACAGGTGCAAGGGAGGGGAGGGCTCTTTTGAAGCTTTGTCCTTGTAAAACGATAGGCATAGAATCCAGACATTAGGGTTCTCTTCATCCTGGGAGGAACTGTGGAGAGGTCGAGGAAGTTTGCAGACTGAGCTAGTGAATGTGTAATTCTTTGTAATACTCTGTTTCCCACCATCCTCCTGAAGCTTTGTGGTCCCCTTTTGCCAATCTAATGGCTCAGTAGCAGTTCTGTCTTTCACTGTACCCTTTTGCTCAGGCTGCTAGTGTTTATTTAAAATAGAGCTTTCATTTAGATGCAATACTCTTAACAACTTTCTTTTTTCCCTGTTAGCAAAAAGTAACCATGGTCTTTCATTTTTTCACATTTGCAGTGCATTCTACTTCATTCTCTACAGGTAAAGAAAAATCGTTTCTGTATCATGGGAAAGATTCCACTCACTGTGTTCTGTTTCCTGTAACATACTGCCCTGGCTGTACTGAAGTAATGAGACACTGAAGTACCAGCTTGTTAGTTGAGATCGTATAGATGGGATTTTTCCTTGGATGGGGTGGACGCAGTGGCAAGCCCGGTCCCCCACCCCTTTGCTGTACCAGGTTCATTTTCTAATGGCCCCGTTTTCCACCAGAAAGCTTCCAAGAGAAGTCCAAACAAGGTTTCACAGAAGGCAAAAGAAAACGGACATGTAATTCAAAGAACAACTAAATAATTCCCCATGATGGCACAGTGACCGGCCAGGAAGCCGATTTCAAAGTGGAAGAGGCACTGGGTTGAGCAGCAGACGCGGTGTGACAGATGAGCCGCCTGTAAACTGGGTCCCCTCAGAGTCCGCTAACCACACACGGCTAAGGCTCTGGTGCAGGGTCTGGGGAGTGTCACTGTTCCCCTCGCCAGGGAGCGCTTCCAGGTGAATGTTCGTCTCTTTGGCGGCACCACGGGATGCCTGTGACTCGGCTGAAGGGCTAGGGGAGTACTGTGCTCGTTGTGTGCAGCACCCCTCCTGAGTGTGCCCTGTGCCAGGTGTGGACTGAGGCCTGCGAGGTTTTTTGTTTCCTTATCTCCCACATCAGCGCTTTTAGGACCTGTGTAGGAAGTTTTATTTTCTGCTATTCCTTTAGTCACCCATTTCTCTTCCTCAAGGGCTCTGATAGGAAGTAATCAGTTATAGGATTTTCATGAGCAAAGTTTTTTTTTTTTTCCTCGTACTGGGAATTGAACTCATGACCTCATGCTTTCCAGGCAAGCACTGAGCCACGGAGCTATATCTCCGGCATGAGCAAAGTACCTGTAAGGAATGTTACCAGGTTGTGCTTTAAATGGCTGTGGTAGGTCTATTCCTAACTAGGCATCTTCCCAAAAGAGTTAGCGGCAGCGTCTTAGAGCGCTCCATGCATACCCATGGGTGTAGCAGCACAGTTCATGACAGCTAAATTTTGGAAGAAGCCTACGTGTCCATCAGCGGATGAATGGATGTAGAAATGTGGTATTTATACGCTATGGCGAACTACTCTGACCTAAAGAGGGAAGAACTGGCGTCATTTACAGGAAACTGGATACACCGTGAATCCATGAAGTGAAATACAACAGATACAGAAGCTTAAACAGTGCATGGTTCCTCTGATATGAGACACCCAAAGTTTAGATAAATTGAAAAGCAAAATAAAAACGAGGTGACAGGAAACAAGGAGATAGATTTTTTACAAATGGGAAGGGGTCCGAGAAGTAGAGGGTGGGGTGGGGTGAGGCGGGGAGGGAGGGGGGAGTGAAAGGAAGGGGTGTCATGTGTGCCTGTGCGTGGAATGCGGTCAGTGCGCGCTGCCATCACTGCACAGTCGGTGGCTGCGTAAGAGCACATTGCTTTGTAGACCTTGAGCGCGCACTGCCGTTGTTAGTTTCAGACGTCACATTTCCGGCATATGAGGACAAAGCCTCAGTTTCTTCCCCTTCCCCACCTTCCTGCATACCTTCTAGGCTAAGACTAGCTCAGATTTTAGTTTTAATAGCAGAGATTGCTGTATTGCAGTTAGTTAGGGCTTGCTCAGGCACTAAAAGCAGTTTAATTCGGATGAATGAAAATGAGAAAATTTAAAGACTATAATTACTACTTGAACATTTTTCTAACAATTTATATGATTTTCTTTTAAATACTTTTATTGTTTTATAATAATTACTAGGGTTTTTCATCCATGAGGTCTTTACATCTGTCAGATTGCTTAGTTTAGGTAGACTGTATTGGGACATTGGTTCTTACTTTTGTCACAGCAGTAATTAAACAGAAAGGTAATTGCATTCTTTTGTACTTTGTGTGTTTGTTATTAAATTAAGGAATTCATATATATGTAGTTTAAACTAAGATCATTACTTGATTGGTTCCCAGAATAACAACATTTTACAGTAGCATATTTTTTTTTTTGTATGTCCATGTTTGAATTTGTCATTATTTGATTTCTTGATGATGGTCATGTTTTAACTTTTGTAAGAATTAATGTCGTGGGCTGGGAAAATAGCTCTGTGTCACAGCACTTGCCTGGCAAGCTCAAGGTTCTGTGTTTGATTCCTGGTACACAAAAAATTGCCCCACATATGAACTATGTGCTCTCTAGTTGTTTGAAACTCTGACTTTAGTGGGAATTTATGTTATCTGAATTTATGTGTTTTTAACTGGACAAACAGCCTTATGTGCTCATTTTTAATTGTAAGACTGGGTCTAGGTACTTTTGTGTATATTCTCAAGATGAAAATGTCTGAATATACATTATTTTGATTAAAAAAAAAGTGTCCCCTAAGTAATGTGGCCAGCTTGGTGAGTTCAGCCTGGGGTTAACTGTCTCTGCTCTGAGGCTCACTAAGCACTGCCAGGACGCTGGCTTTCCATAGTGTCCTGACCCTGGCTGGGCACGCTGAGCAGGGAAAGGGACAGGTGGGGTGGACTTCTAGCCAAGAGGTCACGGCTGTGGCATTTTGCAGGTAGCCTCCTGGTGGCCTCAGCTCACTTCGGCGCCTACGTGTGCGGCACGGACATCGACTACAACACGGTTCACGGCCTGGGTGAGTGGAGCCTGGCAGCAGAGCCTGCCATGGGGCCGGGGCTCCGTGCTTCCCCTCTCAGGCATTGTTTATAGGTGACCAGCTGCCTGCCCCTGTGCGTGTCCCAACGTGGCCTCCTTTTGACTTCTCTCTGTGATTTTACGGTAAAGTGGTCTAATCCACAAGAGTATGTGAGTGATTACTGGGAGCAGACTCTTAGGTGGCTGGCATCTAGGCTAGTAAAAGGGTCAGGATTCAGCCTGTGCACCCCGGCCCCACGTCCTGCCCATGGTCACTTGCCCTTCAGGGCACGCGCTGACTGCGCATCTCGGACACTCTCCCGGACTTCTCTCTCCTGGATTCTCTGATCTTAGTCACAGGCGGTGCCATGCACTTACCTCTTCTGAGCTGAAAGCTTCCGAGCTTTCCCACCTGTCCCGGCCTCTGGGCTCTGGGTCAGGGAGGCCCTCCTGGGCTTCGCGGGCCTCCTTCCTGCTCCTGGGCTCGGGTGCCTCGTGGGGCCTGCGCGGCGTGACCGGCTGCAGGGATGCTGTGTTCCAGGCAGCTGAGTCTCGCTATAAATGCTGTGTTGAGAGGGCACTGAGTGAGGCAGCTTTACTTAGTGGGGGACAGGATGAGGTCAGGCAGATTCACTTTACTGTTCAAAGCACATATTTTGAAATAGAATAATTACTTATGCGTTGAAATAAAATAACGGTTTAATTGTATACATTAAGATTTTAAATGAAAAAATTTATATGAATAAATGTGGGTTCAGGTGATAAATACTGTTAGTTAAACCACAGGAAATAAAGCTCCATTTGATTTAATCCTTCCTCCCGCCCTTCCTTCCTTCCTTCCTTCCTTCCTTCCTTATTTCCTTCCTTCTTCTTTTCCTTCAGGAAAGGCTACTAGGAAAAACCAGAAGTGGAGAGGACCAGATGAAAACATCAGGGCAAACCTTCGTCAGTATGGTTTGGAGAAGTATTACCTTGATGTCCTGGTTTCAGATGCGTCCAAACCCTCCTGGAGGAAGGGCATGTATTTTGATGCAATCATCACTGATCGTGAGTTTATTTGTTCACTTTTTACAAACCTTTGGGTGGGATTAGTTTCCTAAAACCCCTTTTACATTTAAAGTACAACAGTGCATTGACCTGCGTGCACACAATGCCAGCCAACCCCACTCCTTCACACGCTAAGAAGTGATGAAATTAAGACAGGTTATAATGTTAGTAACTCAGTCAGACGTGTTGTTTCTAAATAGATACGTTAACATGTCAGCTACTTCCATCTTTTTATTAGTGTGCCACCCGTTTTTCCCTTCAGCGGATTTTGTCGAGGCATGTGGGTGTCATATTGACTGCAGTACACCAGCTAGAGCTGAACTGTCCCTTGCAGCCAACAGATCAAATCTCAAAGGCAGGAGTGTCAGATGTTGGCACCCATATGCAGGCCTTTGTGGTGTTACAGCACTTGCATTCACTGCTGTGTTTTCAGGACTTGTAAGAAACTTGGGGTTCTGTGACCCACTGGGCTTGTTTATCAACTGGACTTCAGCAGTGTACACAAGCACTTATTTTTTGTGCCTCGTAAGGTCTCATAAGGCAGTGATCTAAGATCAGCCATCTCTGTTTGGCAATAGCTGTAAATAGTGGTCCAATTTTTTTTTTTAATTTAAAAAATTAAAAAAAAATATTTTAAAGGGAGTGAAACAGAGCAGTGAAAAAAAAAAACAAAAACAAACAGTGATAGGACAGTAGGAAATCTACAATTGTTACTTTTGGGACCTTCTTTCTCAGCCCTCTTTAGTTCTTTGTTATGTTAGATATTTTCAGATTGACAAAAGAAAATTATCCAGGCATTTCACTGGCAGACTGACAAAGCTGGGTGTATTTATTAACATTCTGTTTGCTCTTCTACTATGTACGTGTGTTTATTTAAAATGCATAATTTTATTTTTCCTTGAGAGTCTGCTGGGTAGTCTGATAACTTAGTATGTGTTTCCTAAGAATAGGGTATGGTTTTCAGTTTCAGCAATATTTTATTCTACAGTTTGTCATCCAGTCTTGTGAGTTGGCACACTAATATCCTTTATGGCATATTTTTTCCCCTCAGGATCTATGCCAGTTAGGTTTTATGTTTAGTAACGCTATTGTTTGAGCGTCCTGTAATTTGTGCTTTCTCAGGCATCGATATTTGTGAAGAACGCAGTCTCCTCTCACCTTTTCTCAGTTGGGCCAGCACCCGGCCAGTGTGTCCTCTCTGAGCATCACTTCTAGAGGCCCATGGTGCGTAGGAGACCATCACTGGTGCTCTGGTGGCTTCTAACTGTCTGTACCACTTGTGTTTTCTGACTAGCTCCATATGGTATCAGAGAATCTACAAGAAGAACAGGGTCACAGAAGGAAATACCCAAGGGGCTAGAGAAATGGTAAGTGATGTCCCCAAGAAGTGGGTTCCTCCCATGGTAGAGAGAAGTGTGGTGCTTCTGTTTAGTTAACTTTACAAATATTCAAGTTGGCCCTGCTTTTGAAATTTTGTTTTCTTTGTGTAGCCCTGAAAGCCACGTTCCCGTTTCCCTGAGTTACCACCTGAGTGATATGTTCTTTGACCTGTTAAACTTCGCAGCGGAGACCCTCGTATTGGGCGGAAGACTGGTCTACTGGTTGCCCGTGTATACACCAGAGTACGTAACGTTAGCTTTACCTTTGTTTTCCTAACAATGTTTGCACCCCTAGCCTAACTTTTCATTCAAGGTAGCTTTGCATTTAATGTGTGTAGACCTTTGTTTACCTGCATGAGTGTGAAAAGTGGCCTGTCCTCATTGATCGCAGTGTGCAGCCTTTTTATTTCAGAGCAGGGGTTGGCAGACCGCAGCCTGTGGGCTCCATAAGTTCACAGCCTTCACGTTTAAAGTCTGTGAGCTACGACTGGTCTTTACATTTCTGAAGAGCTGTTATTAAGTCATTAAAGAATATGTGATAGAAACCTATGTAACCATTAAATGTAATACATTTCTTTTAAAGCTAAGGCCAAAGTGCAAGCTGTACAGATATATAAGGCAGGCCCTGTTTATGTATGACATTATTGACCTGGATTTTATTACTCAGTAACAATTAAGTGATAAACAGAGCAGTGTATAGCAACAGGGAAGGAGAAAGTGTTCCAAAAAGATAGGGTCTTTAGATTTGCAAAACAGTATTGAGTTCCAGATTTAGTTGTTTTTCATCCTGCTATGGAAATCATTTTTTAAAGATTTTAATTCCGATATTTACTGCACGTAATTGTTCATTTTGGAAGAACAACTCTGAAATGGCTTGCCTGTCTTTTCACAGTGGGGGACGGTCCTTCAGCACTTGGAAGCAGTTCTTTTGTTGTTGGCTTTATAAAGTGGCACTAGGGGTTTCCGTGCTTTGGCCACACCTCTGTTTATCAGTTGTAAGGACACATTCACACCCCGGGTGCCTAACACTGGCTGTGTATGTTTTCTCACCAGTGATAGTCTCATTTAATCACTATGTTTGAGAAATGAATTAGGTCATGAGTTCGATTTCCAGTACCAAAAAAAAGTTTGGGCTGGGGATATAGCTCAGTGGTGCAGTCCTGCCTGGCAAGTGCAAGGTCCTGAGTTCAATTCCCAGTACAAAAAAAAAAATACATTTTGGAGAAATGAGGAAAAGTAATTCCAAGGAGTCAAGTGGCTCGTCCAAAGCTAGCTAATTGTTTTCCTTAGTTCCAGTGCTGTGTTCCTTTATTTCAGCAGCCTGCCACATCTCATGTATCTGGTATCTGAAGCGAAGGGTGTGTTCTTAATATAAAAGAAAAATTTCATAGAATGTGTTTGTTCATCTCTATGCAAAAAGTTTGCTACCTAGATGTATTGTCTACTAGAATATCCTCAGATTTCTCCTGTTTGGAAAACACAAATCTTTTCTGTTATTTGTGGGGGCTTTAGCTGCCACTTGCCTTTCCTCTTTCTTTTGCAAAATGCTGCTTGAAAAATGAACAGGGAATTCCTGCTGTTTCTCCTCAGCTCTTGCTCCTGCTGCTGCCCATAACTGAAACAATGAACTTGTTTTCTGTCTTATTTCAAGGTGCTGGCGTATAATTTTAAAATATTTGTTCTGCAATATTTTCGAACTTACAGAAAAATTGCGAATACCGCCCACAAACTTGTGTTGCACGGTCACTCAAATATTCACACGGATCTACCCCGGCTGCCTACTGCTGCACCCAGCCGTTCCTGTTCCTCTCTTTTCAAACCTTTTGAGCAGCTGGAGATACGATGTGCTACAGGCACTGCTGCATGTTTTAGAAATAGGAGCGTTCCTGCCTCCCAACTCTGTAAGTCTGGAAGTCACCTTTGCTGTCCCACTCACGGACTCAGATTTGACCAGTCTTGGTCCATGTAGGAAGAGGAGCTGCACTGGTCTCTTAGCTCTCCAGTCCCATGCTGGGCGTGGCCTTGGCTGGGCTCCCTGATGTTTCCTCTGTGAGCAGACAGAGGCTCTGCCTTGCCGATAGGAAGATGCCAGCGCGCTGTAGCACGGAGTGTTCTCGACCATGGATGGTAACCTGGGGCATACAGTCCTCTTGCCGTCCTTCAGGTTATCCCAAATCCTCAGTTCTTCCTCTGATTAGCATTTCATGAGAGGCTGTTGCAAGGTGACACTGATGTCTCGTTCTCCACTAAGCCACCACACACGGATGATGCCGAGTTTTACCATGTCCACCACGCTGGTTTTCAGAGGCTGGTTTTTCTGTTCCATCATTCATCCTCCCTTTTCCTTGCAATATTAGGGTTGATCCCAGAGCCTCATGCTTTGCCCCAAACCACATGCCCCATCCTGCTCCTCCCTTGCAGTTTCTCTCCCTTCTTTCTTGTTTGCTTACCATTTTCTAAGTTTATGGAGGTATAGTGTCACGGATCCCTGTATCATTCATTAAATCTTTTTTTTTTTTTTCTTGTCTTTTTCGTTTTTATCGGTACCAGGGATTGAACTCACGACCACACACTTGCAAGGAAGGCGCTTATGCTGCTGAGCTAAATCCCCAGCCCCTTCATTCATTAAATCTTAGTGTATTGCTGTTATTGCTCAAATTGTCCCAAATCTGACTAGTGGGAGTCTCTTGGTACTGGCTCCTCTATCTTTTTGAAGCTTCTCCATTGGATTTTCTATGCTCTCTTACTTTCTGGCATCTGATTGTCTGCAGTTTTATGGTTTATTATCTATAGTAGTCTATTTTGTACTTTATTACTTATAGTCACATGTAGTTAAGCATTTCTTTTATTCTTTAATAAAAAGTAAAGTTGGAACTACTTTAATTGTATTGATAAAAACCTTAAAAAGTATCCACTGGATAGTTCTTCAGTGATTTTTCTGTTTTAATAATTTTGTACAAGGGAAAATTCCCAGATGTATGTAAGGAAGGGGATGTTTTCAGAGTAGGCAAAGGAAGGCTGGGAATGTGGTACATGCCCATACTCTTAGCTACTTGGGAGGTTGAGGCAGGAGGATCAATAGATCAAGGCCAGCTTGGGCAAGACAGCGAGACTTTGTCTCAAAATTAAGCAAAACAAAACAAACCCGTAAGAAAGCTGTAGCCCGGTGGTACAGTGCTCTTCTGTTCCATCTCCATTACCGCTAGAAAACAACAAAAACAGATGAGGTGCTGTGTTTTTGCCTTAGGTCTTTGTCTGGTGCTGGCTTCCTTCTTAGTACTGTGTGTGGCTGGCGTACGAGGAAGAGGCCTGTAGCCTGGTTCCCTGACCTCACTGGGCTGCAGTTAGGGATCATCTGATGTTCATTCCTAGACTTCAGTTGTCTCTTCTCTCTTTGTACCCTAAATAATGTTTTTTTTTTTTTTTTCCCCTTCCCGGTACGGAGAATTGAACTCAGGACCTTGCACGTGCCAGGCAGGTGTTTATGCCACTGAGCTAAATCCCCAGCCCTGTACCCTGAATAATCTTATCAAAATGAATTATTTCAATTAATTGGTGACTTATTAATGAACTCAGTTTACCTTGAATTTTTTCATTTTCCATTTGTGTTACTCCAAATCTTTCTTCTTTTTTAAAATAACATCCTTTCTAAATGAATTTAAGACTGAAGTCATCTGGAGAAGGTTCAGGAAATTTCTTGCTTCTGAATGAGACAGGTTAGAATTAGTTCACTTGTGTTGCCCTGAAAGCACAGCTTTTTATTGGATCAGGAATAAAAAAAGTTTTATTTGAATTGGGCCTTATCACAGCTTAATTTTAAGACTTCTGTGTTTTGGCATAGTGAGTATAGACCATTAGTCCCACCCCTGAGTGAATTTATTCAGCCAAATCCTGCTAGTTGATTCAAGTTTAAAAATCAGAAGTGCACAGTTAAGTTCAGGTGTTATGGCATTTTGAAAACTAGTTAGGCATGAAAGAAAATACTGCCTGAAAACTCAGTTGTATTGGAAAAAATGTCAAGTGCTTAAAAAGGACTTTTTAGGGTTTTTTTTTTTTTTTTTTTGTACTGGGAATTGTACTCACGACCTTGCACTTAGCAGGCAGGAACTGTGCTGCTGAGCTGTATCCCCAATCCCTTAAAAAGGGTTTTCTCACTATTTAAACTGCAACGAGGTAACTGTTCCTCACAAGCCAGCACTGTTTTTATTTCCCTAGTTTGGATCTAGACTTCCCATCCCAACATCAGTATCTTCCAGCCTCGGGGCATCTGTGATTTCTGACATTCCGCCCTGTTCGTATGGTCCCCACCGCCCTTTCCCCTTCACTCACCTGGCAGAGTTCTCATCCTCCTTCCAGGCTTGGATGGCTGTCACTTCTTGGTACTCTGTTGTTGCCCCCTTCAAAGGGATTGGTCCTCCCTCTCGCTCTGTGTCATCTGCACTCACTGTGCAGACTCATATGTGAGATCACCGTAGATAGCTGGTCTTTGTGGGTTTATTGTTTACAGTTTCAGTCACTTGCAAATGGCCCTGAATACCTGTGTCTTCTGCATCTGGGATGGGGCCTGAACTCAGCGTCTGCATGTCTGGTGTTACAGGAACTGCAGAGCTGCTGCGCCTGTATACCGGGGGCCGGGTCCCCCTACCCATGGAGTCTGCTCTCTGTTCCATGACATCCAGGTTATGCAGTTTTTGATGAGCTCTGGAGTTTCTTTTGGAAAATCACTTTTCATAGCAGTCTAGCTGCTAGCATTAGTGTATGTAAAACATTAATGTCCCTTGTAACTATATAATTTGTCAAGTAAAAGTCTAAAAAATAGCCAGGTGTGGTGGCACGCACCTGTAGTCCCAGCACTGGGAAGGCTGAGGCCAGCCTGAGCTACATAGTGAGAGCCTGTCTGAAAATATAAAAGGGTCACGATCAAGGAGCCTAACAGTGTGCCCTAAGGTAGGATGTGCAAATAAACTATAATTGTATTAAATGCAGTTTTGGTGGTGTGATGGGTGCTGAGAACATATTCTCCCTGTGTTTCTAGGAGACAGGAGAAGGGTGCGCCTTAGACCCTCAGAAAGACTTCCAGTCGGTACTGGTTTCTCATATGGCAGGAGAAGCGCTAGTCACATTGGAAGGTAACCAAGACAGGAAGATTTGTGGGGAAATGAGTGGCGATCATAACAGATTCATGAAAAAAAGTAGGGAGCCTTTATGCTCAGATATTTTTGCCTTCTTAGTAGAAGTCGAGATACAATTTGTACTCTGTGTGAGTCCTGCTTTATGATAACTCTCCGTGGTGATTAGCGTGTCTGCAAAGCTGTGTGATATCACTGGCCAGAGTACGGGTTTCTCTCCCCAGAGGCCTCACATACACTTGGTCACTCGGTCGCCTCAGCCTGATCCAGGCTGTCTCTGGGGATCCGCCCCTTCTGTCTGGTTTAGGTTTTAGGTGACTTAGCTTGGAGGGTGACAGTAATAAAAATGGAAAATTAAGATACCATCAGAATAGTCAGGGCAGCATACAGATGTGTATTTTCTGAGTTTGCAGTCTCTTGGTACTAAATGCAACAGCAGTTTTTAATGTTTTCGTGTGATACCTACAGAGTAGCCTCTTGAACTCTTTGGCTCATTAATATAGATTTGTCCCTTCACATTTATGATTTCTGGGTTTTATTTTGGAATCAACCAACCCTGAGTCAAAAATACAGTAGGTCTACCATCCTTGTGCTTATACTGAACTCTGACTTTTTTCTTGTATTATTCCTTAAACAGTACAGTATAATAACTATTTCCATAGCATTTACATTGTGTCAGATGTTATAAATAATTTAGAGATGATTTAAAGAATGTAGGAGATTGCGTGTCAGTTATATGCAAAAACCTCTTCATTTTATGCACCCTCGGATTTTGGTGTCTGGGGGTGAAGGAGCCTAGAAGCAGACCCCTGTGGATATAGAGTCGGGGGAGAGACACTGCAGTGATCAAGACAAGGTTCCCTTGTAATGTTGATCTAAATGATTTCCCTTTATGTGTAACATCAACAATCCAGTCAAAAAGGAAATGTAAAGCAGGTATCTATGTTCACAGGCTGTGAAGCCAAATGCCACGTTGTTTTAATAGTTTGCTATCATTTATGTCCTAAGTATTACTTAAAATCATATTGGTTTTGTTCATTAGATTTGAAGCATAAATTTGTTTTGGGGTTTTATCATTAAATAAGGGAGTTTATACCTTATTTTTCATTTGTCGATATTTAAGATACATTTTAATAAAAATATTTAGATCAGTCCCACTAGGGAATAAAAGGGCTTTTCCCTTTAAGCAGGGAACATTAGCAAGTATGACTACACTGTATCTGGCACAATGGCTCTTGCTCTTTGCACCCTGAAAGTCAAAGCTCTGTCTTCTTCGTTTTCATTTTTTACTGAGGCCTCACCGTGTTATAGAATGCATTCTTCCCAGCATCAATGCTTAGTATTAAAATTCCAAATTCAATTTCAACTAATTTTATAAGAAGTGTAGCATTTCTATATATGAGGCTAGCAAACACTGAAGAACCATCTGATGGGGCAAAGCTAAGGAAGGAATCAGAGAAGGAGTTCAAGAGAATCCCTTCCATTGATAGGTACTGAAGCAAAGTCTGCGGTAATTGTGGTTCTTGATTAGCATCTTCCCACTTGGGGTCAGAGTGTGAAGATCACCCATATACAGATGTGTGCAGAGACTGTTCAGAAAGGCAGAGACATTTACAGAGGAAAAATAAAATCTGTCAATTACTGATGTAAAGACATCCATACCTTGTGAACCCTTCCTAGGTCAGTGGCTTGTGGATTGTCCCACCTCATTGCCTCCTGGGTTGCTTTTGATGAGCTGGCAGTCCGGGGTTGCATCTTCTTTTTTCTTTTTTAAAACATTTAATTCCTGGGTTGATGCTTATAAATTGCTTGTGGTGAATTACTTTATTGCTAGTTTTTCAAAATCTTAGGAAATGAGTACTTCACAAGGGTGTCTTCCAGGTGGTTTTGGGATTCTGCGTCTGTTGCAAGATCCTACCTCTTTAATTTATTGGAGATGAGAAGTTGCTGTTTGCTTGGCCCAGCCTCTGATTCTTTGGTACTGGCCCACAGTAACTTCTGTGACCCTTGGGCAAACTCAGTCTTGGAATACCAGCAAGAACACCAGGTTAGAATAATTATGTCACTTTGGCTAAAGTGGTGCAATTAGCAATAACATTTTAAACACAGCCTAGAAAATGATAAACTGAGGTAACCATTAATATGCCATCTTTAGAAAGGAAGAAAAGAGAAAAATATCCACTTCCAGATTTGTCTTTGCTGTCACTGGTAGATGACAGGTCTCGGAGACAGAGTGCAAATCCATGTCGGTCTAGCCCAGCAAGCCCGCGGTAGCTTTGTGGCAGGGCAGTGGATAATCTCAGAGAGCCTGCACCGGGACCAGGCACACCAGGGCCGGACTCACCCGGCCTGCAGCCATCCCTGCACCGTCCTCAGTTCGAACCCAGCTGGGAGCCTCCCCTAGATGGCTCTCGGACAGTGGTCTCCGCCACAGGAGGACTGAGCCTCAGTACTCACCGCCGCATCTCTCTGGAGGCCTGGAGTCGCCAGCTGTCACCATCACGCGTGTCTGCGGGTTCCAACTGCATCTCACCTCTCAGTGCAGCGAATCCCATCTCGGGAGGAAGGCGCCACCCCGGCTTCCTGCTTCTGGTTGAAGTTTATCTCTTAAGTCTCTCCGCGGGCGGCACTTCACATCTCAGATCCCAGGCCCGGGGCACCCGCGCTCCCCCTGCCGTCTCCCGCGCCACCGGCCTGCACTCGTGGACTGAACAGCCCGCTCCCGGGGCCCCGCCGTCCGCCGCCTGCATCTTCCTGGAAGTGCCGGCGGCTTCCCTCCCAGTGGGCTTCTTGTCGGCGTCTCCTGTGTCTCCTGCCGGGATGGACTCCAGCGTCCTGCTGGACCCCAGGCCTCAGGCCAGCACCCGACAGGCCCGGATCTGGGCGCGGCACATTTCACGTCGAGGCTGTGCCCTGCAGCGGGCCTCTGCTCGGCCTCTGCTCTGACCCGGAGCCCCGCGGGCCTTGGTACCCTGGTGCCTCAGTTTATGTACCTCGCATTTACAGATGCAGCAGTGGCCTCAGGGTGGCGCCGAAGGCGCTCCGCAGCGCTCCATCCTACCGGAGAGCGCGTGCTGCAGAGCACTTCCCATGCGGACGGACGTGGTGGGAACCTCGCGGGGGCCTCGTCTCCCCGCCTCGGCGTCCTTGCGGGAGGCGTCTTGCAGTTTGTGGTTTCAGGGTTGGCGAGCCTCGGTGGAACACACTTGAGCGTTCTCTCTCTCCGGCTCCTGCGCCTTTGCCTGTGTCTGTTGCTGCCTCCCGGCTTTTAAGTTTGTTAAACCACATTTCTGAATTTGGTGATAGTAAAGTGCTTTTCTGTTGAATCCGGGGGCGGAGACTTAGGGTCTGGTGGATGTCAGCGCCTGCGGAATCCAAGGGCAGCTCCCATTTTGGGAGCCTGGCGCCCTCTGGTCAGCCCCTAGGCTGCGTGGCCGTACAGAGTGACCCTAACGGTCAGCTGCTCTTTCCTCAGGTACACCGAGGAGATGGTGCCCCGGCACCCGTGCCTGAGACTCATTAGCAACTGCGAGCAGAAGCTTTCGAGCCACACGTCGAGGCGCCTGATCACCATGGAAAAGGTGAAGACATTTGAGGTAAGGAGCCCAAGGTGTCATTGCAGTGAGCTGTGGAATTTATAGAAAGGAGAAAATAAATTTCCTCCCTGAGGGCCGGCTGTTCCTTTCCTCTCGCTCTGATAGAAGGAATTCCTCCTAATGAATTTGGGCTCCTAATGAATCGAATTCCTCGATTGAATCTGGGCTGTCCTAGCCCAAGGACCAGAGCCACCCGACTCCCCCACAGGGGTGAGCCCCATCTTAGTCCACCTCTGCGGGGTCCCCGGAGCCCATGGTCAGTGCCTGAACATGCTGACCCCAGGGTCTTTCACAGTAGTGGAAATAACATCTATCTGCACAGTGCTTTTTGCATGGGTTTCTTAAGCCTTACTATTGTCTTTTTGACTTCCATTTGCTGTCTCCATTTTGACCCTTGTTACTTTTGGATTATTCTCACAGACTCCCAAATGGTCTCACTCTTTCACACCTCATTCATAGGTATTACATGAAGTTTTCTGAAATACTTCATTAATTATGTTACTTCCCTGTGCAGTTTTGTAGTGAACAAAAATATTGGAAGTTTATATTCGAATGACATATCCTTGGGTTGGTAGTGTCTTTATAATTATCAAAGTAATTTATTTGCTGGGTATCTGAGTAGTATACATAAGAAACAGAAGTATTACCTGTAGATTTTATGATTTTGACCCTTGGTACTGTTAGAAAGTCTGGTAATGACTAAGCATTCCTTCATATTTCAGTCTTACGTAGATTGCATTGAAAGAATTAGGCAGAAAGGCGAGTACTAATAATCTACAAAACTGCATAATAAACCAGACGTTTCTTTAAAACTTGAGATCTCTCCTGGACTCATGTTTGCTTTCTCCTGGGTTTGTTTTGCTCAAGAAAGTTCAGTATTTATTTTCTAGTGTTGCTTGGGGTTCAATTCCAGGGGAAAATGAACTTTGGAGAAGTTTTTGTATGTTAAAATGATAAGGCAATGTTAAAAATACCTTTGGTATTTTTAATCTTCTATAGCCAAAATTGGTTTTGTCTGTTTTCCTCTTTGCATCCTACTATTGTCCATTTGAAATTGATTAAAAAAAAAAAAAAAACAGAACCAAAACCGAAAATACAAGGAAAAATGTAATGCCCAAGTATTTTTTCTGAAATGAAATGGTCTTCCTTTATAATATCAACTTTACCAGTGTGGAGTTTACCAGGAGTCGTGTGAGGTGAGCCGGGTTAGGCTGTTGGTTTGGGACTACATTTCTCCCTCTTGGTTTGGAGAGGGCTGTGTGTGCCTGCAGCGGTGTCCCAGTCCTTTTTAAAGCAAGTGCTGACAAAATCGTCAAACAGTTCTCACGCGAACCTGACAGATGACTGTCAGACCTGCTCAGCCTTGTTGACTTTGGTAATGGGAGACTGTGCATTTTAGAGTTTTGCAGTTTTGTATACTTCATATTTGCCTCTTCATTTTTGATTAAGTTTAACCTCGGTGTAGATTTTGGCCCACTTGATAGGTTCTTACAGTGTTCATCCTTTCACTGTAAGAACTTTCATTTAAAATGTAAATGTAAATGATAAAAATTATCTAAATGTATGGATATTTTATAAAATTTTGTTAATTTACATTATGGGTGATAAGTTTCAGATTTTTTTTTTTGTCTTTTTGAGACAGAGTCTCACTGTGCAGTTCAGGCTGGCCTTGGGCTCATTTTGTAGCCCAGGCTACTTTCAAACTTGCAAATGATTCTCTTGCCTAGCCTCCCAAGAAAATAAGAAAGTTCTTGATAACCATGTTGAAATTAAGAAGATGCCTGATAAGAGCCAAGTTTTTATCATTATTTCCCAGCCATGTATTCGGAAGAACACTTTGTTAATACTTTGTTGTTTCCAAGACTTTCCCGTCCACGTAAGTGTATTATCTTCCCTGTTTTAATGGTGAGGACATAGCCTAGGCCCCTCCCATTTTCATAAACAGAAAATGGCATAATTGAGGCCAAAATACTTCTTTGTACCTGGGGGAGAAAAATATGTGTGTGTGTGTGTGTGTGTGTGTGTGTGTGTGTGTGTGTGGTATTGGGATTGAACCCAGGGTGCTCTACCACCAAACGACATCCCCAGCCATTTTTGATTTTTGTTTTTGTTTATTTCTTAAGACAGAGTCTGGCTTTGCCCAGGGAGAACTTAAACTCGGGTATCTTCCTACATTGCCTCCTTAAGAGCTGGGATGATAGGCATGCATTATTGAGACCACCTAAATCTGAAATTTGATGTCTTTTTTCCTATATCACATTGCCACTCTACTGAACACATTTTTATCTTTAGAATATGCCAAGATCAAAAAGTAACCAGGGCTAGGGGCTGTAACTCAGTGGTCGAGTGTTTGCCTGGAGTGTAGAAGATCGAGGTTGTAGCCCAGCCTTGCAGAATAAGTCAGTGAGTGAAAGGTGAAAGGTGCTCTGGAGCAGCGTAATCTTGCTTGTCGTGTTTTTCTCAGCTAATGTTGCTCTTTGGGTCTCGGCCAAGTGTGGTGTGTTTTACCAAAGCTCATTTTCCTTCTTGGTACAGCTGCTGTGTGTGCTTGTGGTCCCACTGGTTACTCCCCAGACTCCATCAGATAAAAGAACTGATGGCTAGAGTGGTCCAGAGCAGGTGAACCTAGGAACAGAATAATTGTATCTTCAGTGAGACTTACTGAAAACCCTCTTCTTCCGGAATCCCTTCTGACATATGAAAGAGCAGCCGGTTTAGCACCTTTTAAAACTTTCTTGAGATCTTTTTAAAAAATTCATGCAAGTGTTATAGTCTACAATAGACACATTTAAATATAAAAAAATTACAGTTAGGAGTGTATTAAGTGGACTTATTTATTTTGTGGCTTGTTTCTCTGGCGTGCTACCATGTATTCCTGATTATTTGTGACGTACTACAGTATAGGAAAATTTAATTCCATAGCTTTAAATGGACATTAATTTAGACTAGAATTTTAATATTGTGTAAGTCAGTGATCATTGTTTTTTTAAAGCCTCCAAGTACAGTTGGGGTGATTTAAAATAAGATATCTGAAGGTCATAGTGGTGGGTGATGAAAGTTCTGTGATTTTTGATTTTGGGTTGAATGAAAGGGCCCCATGATGTGAAGCTGATGGATGTGTTCATGAGGATGGAGTGTGTCCATCATTCAGGGTTTTGCCTGGAAGATTTTGAAGCCGCAAAGGGAAGAAAAGCCAATAACATGGTAACAATGCTTTTTTAAATGAAAAAGGAAGACAGTAATACTGAGAAAATGACTTATGGATTATGTGGAGGGGACAAATTATCCTTCATGACAATTAGGCCTCGTCTGAGGTTGATACTCAGTGTTGCTAGTTGTAAATGAGCGAGCATCCTTGACGTGGTGCTTTGCCTATTTTCGTTCCGCTTTGGTCTAACTCAGGACGGTGTCCTTGTGGTTCTGTTGGGCAGCTATTTGGGTTTGAAGGTGGCTCCTTCTGATTGACTTTGGGTTTTGAAATGTTGCATTTTGGTTTTTGTCTATCTCAGGGCCGGGACTGTGCGTATTTCTCTTTGGACTGAAGCTATGAAATGGATCCGGTAGACGTATTTAAGTTATGCAGTACTTTTGGTAGGTGGTGGATGATTCCACATGTGTTGGTGAGAAAGATGACACAGGGGGACACTAAGCAGAAGCACAGTAACTGTGCGTTAGGCCCCAGTGCAGGTTTTACTACAGTCCATATTCTCATCTGTCAAAATGGGATGCGTGAGGGGTGAGGAATGTGCTGGAAAGCGGTTTGCGCAGGAAGTCCGCGTAGGAAGTCGGAAGGAGACAGACGTGCAGTACACAGGAATTCGTTTCTGCTGGAGGTATTTGAAAATTCTGGAAGCAGGGAGGGTGCTGGGGTATAGGGTGATGCTTCAAGTCTGTTTCCACGTCCCCATAATCCATTTGGTCCCAAATGAATTTGCTTTTGCCATTAATGACACTTTTTCTTGAGTTTAAAATTGGAAGGGGTCATCAAGTTTTCTTTGCTACCTCTGCAACAAGTGATTTTGCCAACCCAACTGGACTTTGCTCTCCTGCTGATCAGAATGTTTACTGTGTTCTGATAAACAAGTTACAACCCAAATCTGTCCTCGCCATCCCTGAAAGGCATACTTTTGAGAGAGCTGGGTCCTTGCAGCTCAGGCTGTCTGGGTGGGGCTGTTTTATTTGCTGGAACAAGCAGGACTCTAAGGCCTAGAGAGGGCAGTGACACCAGGCCTTGAGTTCATGTTTTGAAGAAATGACAGTAACATAGTTTTAAAAGTCAGTGAAACAGAATCTTGGGTATATATTGCAAGATATAAATAGGATTCAGGGATTCTGAGGTATGAACTCTTTAGGGAGATTACAATGTGCGGTGAATATAACCCTTTGGAGCTTTTATAATTCTTGCAGATGTGACAGAATTTCTACTGTGTATGTGCATGCGCACATGTGTTTCGTACTGTTATTTATCTTAGAATTACCTTTCTAGGTTTTTTCAATATGTGTCATCCTTCCATTCTGTGCCCCTCTGAGATTTTAGCATGTATCTTTTTCCAAAGCACAAACTTAGAGTTTAATGACTAAGGATAGAATGGACATCCATGTGGCTACCTGTGTTCCCAAGGTTGAGATCAGGGGGCAGCTCAGTACCCCAGAAACACACCCTCTAGTGGCCATTTCTGATCCAAGCGCTACCCCTGCAGGTGACCTTTTTGGTAATTTCTTGCTTCCTTTGTTAATAGCCCCTGTTGAAATCATTTCTAAGCAAAATAATTTTGCCTGGTTTCTGTCTTCATTTGAATGGAAATACGTTTTCATTCATTTTTTTAATGGATTGTGGAAATTTTAAAAAAGGTACTAGGAGAGGAATTGTTTCTAAATTAAGTAAAAGAATATACATGTGAATACCTGTCTGTGTTTTTGAATGTTATTTATCTTTTTGCATTCTTCTTGGTTTTGAAAAAATCAAGTTTAAAAACAAGTTAAAAGAAAATTGGGGCTGG